CCGGTATCCCCGTCCGTGGGTCCCGTCCTGCGCGCTGCGTACCTGGGGGGGCGGTGGGGGCGGCCCGCACCAGCCCCGGTGCCCGCCCGGCCCGGTGCGCTGCGGTGCCGGTGCCGGTGGCGGAGCCGGGCGGGGCGCAGGTGCTCCCGGCCCCGCGTGATGTCAGCGACCGCCGCCGCCCCCTCCGCCACCGGGGCCGCGCCGCCATTTAAAGGGACCGCCGCCCTCCGTGGGGTGGTGGGGGGATGGCCGGGGACACCCCCCCAACAGCGAGCACGCCACGGGACCACCGGCTGCCATCCCCGCGGGGACACCCCCGGGACCCCGCTCCTCCGTGGGGTTGAGCGGAGCCCGGCACCGGGGGGTCACCGGCGGGGGGGTCGGGAGTCGGGGGTGGTCCTGGTATCCTCGGGGGATGTCCCCCAGCCCCGCACCGGGCGGGGTCGGGCCGGAGCGGGCCCCCGGGACCCGGTGGACAAAGTGGCAGCTGCCGGGGCCGGGCCGGGCCGGGCCGGGGCGGCTCTTTGTGCTGCGAAATGGAGGAGCTGGAACTGCGCGGGGGGAACGACGGGGACTGGGACAGACAGACGGACACGGGGCTGGGCAGCGACACAGCACCGGCGTCTGTCACCCCCGGGCTGTCCCTGCAGCGGAGGGGACAAAGGGGAGCCCCCAGGGCTGGGGGTCCCTGCACTGGAGCAGGGAGACAGAACCCAGCACAACCCCGCCATGGAGGGGATCCTGGGGCAGCCCCAGGGCTGGGGGGCTCCCAGGACTTGGATCCCTCCAGCCCCCCCCGGGAGCAGGAGCCACAGCACACAAAGCCTGCGAACGTTTTCACCGATGTTTTATTGGAAATGTTAAATACTGGGGGTCCGGCCCCAGCGGAGCCGGGGGTTGGGGGGCTCGGGAGGGCTCAGGCGTGTTCCTCTGCCAGCTTCTCTGCCTTGGCCACCGCCTCCTCGATGGGCCCCACCATGTAGAAAGCCTGCTCAGGCAGGTGGTCATATTCACCTGGGGGGACACAACGTGTCAGGGGGGAGTGGGAGGCCCAGTTGGGCACCCCCAAGCCCCCCGAGGGCCACCTCACCTGCCAGGATCTGCTTGAAACCCTTGATGGTCTCTTTCAGCGGCACCAACTTGCCCATGTGGCCGGTGAAGACCTCGGCCACCTGGAAGGGCTGGGACAGGAAGCGCTGGATCTTGCGGGCCCGGGCCACGGTCAGTTTGTCCTCCTCGGACAACTCGTCCATGCCCAGGATGGCGATGATGTCCTGCAGTGACTTGTAGTCCTGGGGATGGGGACACAGGGGGTGAGTGACCAGAGCTGAGCCCCCACCCCAGCACCCCACGGGGAGGGGCTGCCCCAGCCCCCTCACCTGAAGGATCTTCTGCACACCCCGAGCCACGTCGTAGTGCTCGGGCCCCACGATGTTGGGGTCCATGATTCGCGAGGTGGAGTCCAGGGGGTCCACGGCCGGGTAGATGCCCAGCTCAGCGATGGCACGGGACAACACCGTGGTGGCGTCCAAGTGGGCAAAGGTGGTGGCGGGCGCGGGGTCAGTCAAGTCGTCGGCCGGCACGTAAATAGCCTGGGGACACAGAGGGGAGGGGACAGTCGGCCCCAGGCAGGTGACACAGCCCCCGGGGACCCTGAGGATGGTCCCGTCCTCACCTGCACCGAGGTGATGGAGCCCTTGCGGGTGGTGGTGATGCGCTCCTGCATGGTGCCCATGTCAGTGGCCAGCGTGGGCTGGTAGCCCACGGCCGAGGGGATTCTGCCCAGCAGGGCTGACACCTGTGAGGGGACAGAGCGTGAGGGACAGAGCAGGAGGGGCCGTGCAGGTGGGGGACAGTGCGCTGCCCCGTGCCCAGCACACACCTCGGAGCCGGCCTGGGTGAAGCGGAAGATGTTGTCGATGAAGAGCAGCACGTCCTGACCCTCCTGGTCCCTGAAGTACTCGGCCACCGTCAGCCCCGTCAGGGCCACCCTGGCGCGGGCGCCCGGGGGCTCGTTCATCTGCCCGTAGACCAGGGCGACCTGCGGGTGGGACCCTGGGGTCAGCACGGTGTCACTGCCACACCTGGTACTGCATCGAGGGACCCAGAACCTCCCCAGGAGACCCTCCCTCAGCGTCTCTGCACACCTTGGAAGTGGCATCTTTGAGGTTGATGACCCCAGACTCGATCATCTCGTGGTACAAGTCGTTGCCCTCGCGGGTCCTCTCACCCACACCGGCGAACACCGAGTAACCACCGTGGGCCTTGGCCACGTTGTTGATCAGCTCCATGATCAGCACAGTCTTGCCGACACCAGCACCTCCAAACAAACCTGGGAAGAGGGGAAATAAGGGTCCTGCTGAGCCCCAAGCCAGCCTGGCTGCCCCCAGGGTCTCCCTGCAGCTCTTTCCTCCTCAGATACAAAAAGCGTTGCTTCAGCAAGCTCAGGAGAACGAAAGTCATGGAGTGAATCATCAGTGAAGGAAAAGTTCCCCAGAGGAACTGTTGGAAATCCCAGAGGGACTAGCAGGTACCCACTCCCCAGAGGGACCAGCAGGTGCCCACCCCTGCTCTGGGGGTCACATACCGATCTTGCCACCCTTGGCATAAGGAGCCAGCAGATCCACGACCTTGATCCCTGTCACCAGGATCTCCTGCTCCACACTCATCTCCACGAACTCGGGGGCCTCGGCGTGGATAGCAGCAAACCTGGAGCAGGGAGAGGAGAGGAAGAGGGTGGGCGGCTGCTCTGAGCCCCCCAGGTTGGGGGCTGGCAGGGGACAGTCCCTGCTGTGACCCAGACACCTGGCATGCCCTGCAGCCCCTCAGCACTCACTGTTTGGTCTTGATGGGGCCCCTCTCGTCGATGGGCTCCCCAATGACATTCATGATCCTGCCCAGGGTCTCGGGGCCCACAGGGATGCGGATGGGAGCACCAGAGTCCAGCACCTTCTGTCCCCTCACCAGCCCTTCCGTACCGTCCATGGCAATGGTGCGCACGGTGTTCTCCCCTGCCGAGGCCCAAGGACAGCACAGTCACCACAGCGTCCTCAGGCTGACCCTGGGGACAGCTGCTGGTGGCTCCCCCAGGCCCTGCCAAAGGGACATTCTGCTGGGAGAAGGACCAAGAGGAGCAGCAGGAATAAAATAGCCCAGAGGAAAACTGAGCCCTGCAGCCACAGCCCTCGGGCAGCCATTTTCCTCCTCCTCAGATCGAAATCCGTGGCTTCAGCAAGCTCAGGAGAACGAAAGTCATTGCAAACATCATCACAGGAGGATCCCTCCCCGTCCAGCCGCTCACCCAGGTGCTGAGCCACCTCCAACACCAGCCGCGTCTCCCTGCCCTGCACCTCAAGGGCGTTCAGGATGGGGGGCAGCCCCTCGTCGAACTGCACATCCACCACGGCGCCGATGACGGCCACGATGCGGCCGGTGGAGGAGCCGGCCTTGGCGGCAGGGGCTGCCTGGGCGGCATAGTCCCGTCCTGGGGGAGAGAGGGACGAGTCAAGGTCGGCCGGGGCAGGGCAGCTCCGGGCTGGGGGTGCGGAGCTGGGGCTCCCCTGCGAGCCTCGGGGTGTGCCCCACACCCTCCCTGGGTGCACCCAGGACCCCTGAACCCCCTTCCTCAGCGCAGCCTGGACCCCACACCCCGCTCGGTGCACCAGGGAGCTCTGCACCCCTCTCTGGGTACACCCGCAGCCCCTGCACCCCTCAGGGCACGCAGGACCCCCTGAGGCCCCGGACCCCTCCCCGGTACATCCGCACTCCCTGCAGCCCCCCGAGTGCCCCCACGCCCACCCCCCGGGGCCGCCGCTCCTCTGCCGCAGCCCATCCCCTCACCCCACCCCGGTAACGCGGCCCTGAGCACCGGCACCCCGCGCAGGCCCCAAGGTGACCCCGGCCCGCCCCGCACTCACGCGCCCCGACGGCGGCAGCCGGGGCGGCCCCGCGGCCGAGGAGCAGCGGGAGGAGGTCCCGGCCCGGGGCGGCCCCGCGGGGCAGCAGCGGCCGGGCCGCGGCGGCGGCGGCGGCGGCGGCGGAACGACCCGCGAGCCCCAACATGGCGGCGCCGACTGAGCCCCGCGTCCCGCCCGCCCCTCACGGCCCCCGCGGGGCGGGGCCGCCGCGCGCGCGTCATCGCCGCACCGCGCGCCCATTGGCTGCTCTGAGGAGGGGCGCCGGTGAATTCGCGCTCACATTGGTCGCGCCGATGCGGCGCCCGCTCTGCGCTTCCTCGCGATTGGGTTGTGGATCCATCCGTCAAAACGCGCTGCGGTCTGATAGGGCAGCGTGTGGGAAGGGGCGTGTCCCGAGCGAAGGGCAGCGGAAGTGGCGGCGCACGTGTCCCGCGCTTGTCCTTGGGCGGGCGCGGTGACCGCGGCCGAGGCCGCACCGGGCCCGTGACGGGCCCGCTCCACCCCGTGAGCGCTTCTGCCGCACCCCGCGCCACGGCACCGCCCCGAGGGGCCGCCCTCACCGGGCCCGCGTCCGTCCCGCACGGCCGAGGGTCACGGCACCGTCCCGCCCGGACGCCGTGTCCGCCGCACGCCCCCGGTGTCACTGTGGTGCTCCCGGGGCAGCCCCCGTGGCACCGGCCCGTGCTGTCGCCCAGAGGCCCGAACCCCACCGCAGCATTTCTCCCCTGCCCCCCAAGGGTCGGGAGCCCACTCTGCTGCTTCCCCGCCGAGGGGAACCGGAGCACTCTTGTCTCCGGTGGGAGGGAATCCCACCCCACCGACCCCCAGAGAAGGGGATCCCACCCCACTGACCCCCAGAGAAGGGGATCCCACCTCACCAACCCCACAAAGGGGATCTCATTCCAAGTGCCCCCCAAATAAGGGGATCCCACCCCACTGACCCCCATAGAAAGGGATCCCACACCACTAACCTCCCCCAGAGAAGGGAATTCCACCCCACAGATCCCCCTCAGAAGGGGATCCCACCCCACTGCCCCCACGGCGCTGAGAAACGCACAGGGCCCAGGCCGAAGGAGAGCCAGGGAGTCTTCAACAGTTTATTAGAAAGAATGCAGACATTAAAAAAATCCCAGCTGCTCTGAACATAAATTGAGGTTTTTCAGCCCGGTTCGCAGGCGCCCGCGCGCCCCACGGTCTGTCACTTGCTGCCAAACCCACAGTGCAAATACGAATTTGGTCTAAATGTACAGATTGACAAGCAACAATGTACAGCCACTCGCACCCCGGGCGAGGAGGTGGAAAGGTTTGGGGGTCACACGGGACCAGGGGCAGGCTCCGGCCACCAGCACCGGTCGGGGCTCGGGGGCGAACACCAAAACAAAGGAGAATTTTGAAGTTTTCCTTTTCAAGATGAACTTTTTTAGTGGAACAGACCTGAAGACATCACGGAGGGATGTGCCTCACCTGCTGAATTTGGGGAGTCAATGACAACAGTTTTTTTTTGTTCCCGGTACAAACGGACAATTTCAGGCCGTGGAGGGGCGGGGGGAAATAAAAAGCTCATTTACCACTCGGTGTTAATTCAGGGTTCTCCCATTGTAATTACATCTGCTACGAGGCAAGGAGGCTCTGTAAACTTTATTGCAACTGTTCTCAACGGGTTGCCTACACCTCAATTGGGTTGGTTTGGGTTTTTTTTGGTTTTTTTTTCTTTTTTGGAAGTCTGGAAAATGGTTCATGCATAACTGTTATTGCCTCTCGTGGCTTTAAGACCGCCCCGTGCCATGGGACACACCTACCATCAGTGAAGCCATTTAAAATGGACTGAAAATGGGTTAAAGGATGCAGGATCTCCCTTTAGGGCTATCAACTCAGGAATTCTTATCTCAATTATGAAATGTTGTGATGAACTTCTTTCCCCAAAACCCTGAAGACGACAGTTTGCCTTACTCCAGATCCGGCATTTCTAGAGGGGAAAGAGAGAAGAGAATTAGTGGTTTTAAGGTTGCTTTGTGGCTTTCATTTTTTTTTGCTTGGTTGGTTTTTAAAAGCTCCCAGGGCATTATTATGTCACAAGGGACACGAGCAAGACGACCTGGCCTCCAAGCAAGGAGGTCACGGGGCAGTTTGGGGCCTCTGCCCTCCCCCCTGGGCTCTTCCCAAGGGAAAGCCGTGCCAGAGCCACCCCGAGCACCTCCTAAAGCCAAAGCCTCCCTGGGCCTGCAGCTGCCTGGGAAGGTTAAACTGGTATTTGGGGCTTGTGTGGAGAGGCTTTCCCAGATTAGATTTGTCTCCCAGGGCTGGCTTTAGCTGGCAGCCAGGATGAACATCTGCTGGCCCTGCCCAGGGCGGCTCGGAGCCTTCAGCAGGTGTGTGAGGGGAAAACAACAAAGACAACAACTTACTTTCATCATCACTGTCTGGTGAGTCCTGGAAAGGAGAACAAACAATCTTTAAGTGGAGCAGACGGCTCCTCTACCACCCTCTCCCCTGCCAGCAGAGAGCTGCTGTTCCCAAATCTGGATTTTGAGGAATTCCAAGTTCCAGAGGACTCAGGGAGCTCAGTTTGGCCTCACTGCAGACCCACAATGACCCCCAAGCACTGCAGAGAGACACACCCCCCAAACTGGTGTCCCCAGCACCCTCAGCACTGCTGAGAGGGGAGGGAAAGGGCCTCCCCAGGTGATGTCACCTGTGCAAACAAGGTTTGGGGCTATTTAAGCCTTTTTTAGTGCTGAGGGGTGAGTGCAGGACTGCTGAGCCAGCCCTGCAAGTGTTCACTGCACCCACATACTCACATCATCTGCCCCATCTACTTCTGGCAAGTCTACGTCGTCGTCTCCTCCCATGTTGTTCATCATCTGCTCAGAGACAGAACAGCCACACTTTGGGGTGAATCCAACCCAAAACAACCCAAAACAACCCAAAACCAACAGCACCCCCCCTTGCTGTAACAGATCAGTTGCCCACATGCAGGAATTACAAAGTGATGGTGCACAAAAAGCTCGGATTCATTGCCCGGCAACTCCCAAAACTCCAGGAATTTGTCGTTCCCTACCTCAGAAAAGCGATCAAAATTGGACATGTCTTCATCTGAATCATCTTCCCAGTCTTTCCAGTTGTTGAAGTCCACGCTGAGCCAGTTGAGCTGCAGCAAGACCAGCGGTTATTTAAGGACAAGGAATTATTTAAGGACAAGGAAGTGGTTGTCAGTTAGAACAGGCAGGTTAACGAGAGCTGCCGTGGGATCAGGAGCAGGAAAGTGACCCAAAACTGCTCCACAGTTTGAACATGACCCAAATATTCACTAAACTAAAAGCCAGGGGAGGCAGCAGATACCCAGACTCACCTTTGCCCTCTCTTTTGTTAACCTTGGCCATGCCTGACCAGACTCTCCTTTTCGTAAACAACACAAGATGGATCTGTCTGTTCTTTTATGCTTTGATTCCTGAAAAAGAGCAAATATCCATTAGTACCATCAGGATGACCTTCACCAGGCACTGCTGACATCCTTCCTTTATCTTCACCTCTTCCCTTATTCCTTGTCCTGAAAAATACCCCCCAGAGAATCTTTCCTGGATCTGACTTTGAGCTTTTATGTTCTAAGGAATAATCTTCCTTAGAAAATATTCCATATTCCTATTTTTAAGGAATAAAATCTTGGGAGCAGCCTAAAGAACATTTTTTAGGATCACAGAACCAAGGGATGGTTTGGGTTGGAAAGGACTTTAAAAGCCAAGTTCCAAACCCATGCCATGGGCAGGGACACCTTCCACCAGCCCAGGTTGCTCCAACATGGCCTTGAACACTTCCAGGGATGGAATATCTGCAATTTCTCTGGACAAGCTGTGCCAGCCCCTCACCAGCATCAAGAACTCAGGAAGAGTCAGGAGGATACTCACATTTGGATCGATATTATTAAAAAGATCGATTTCATTTAAATGTTTAAAATTATCACTTCCTCCAAGACAACTGCAAGAGAAAAATAAATCAGTATTTAGCCCAAACACATCTCATACAACAAATCTGCTTCTCCTTAGCACTCCCTGTGCTTGAATTACTCACCTGAACGTGAGTTTGGACTTTTCAAAATTTACATTTACGTCTTTGCTGTCTTCAACACAGAACTCGATAAAGACGTAGTCCCTCCGGTCGTACCACTTTGCAGAGGCAGGCTGCCTGTGGGCAGAGCAGGGACACAAGGGCATTGATTTTCACCAAGAAATCCAAGGAAAAAAAAAAGCTTTTTGTACTTAAAACCTGCCTTTTGCGCTTACTGTTATTCTTTAAAGGTGCTTTAAGCTGAAAAGAGAGAGCTGGAACAAAAAGATATTATGTATTTGGAGTGTGACGCCCCCAGAAAGCTCCTGGGAGGAGCCACTGAAATCTGAGACTGAAATAAACATTTCAGCAGATCAAAATTCTGATAAACTTCAAGATGAGCTACTACAGACTGTGGCAGCAGCTCCACCACCTCCCAACAGCTGCACAGGCAGACTTCACAGTGGTTTTTGTCATGCAAAGAGTTAAAACCTAGAGTAAAACTATAAAAAAACCCACCTTTTTGGGGTATTGATACTATAAAAAAAAGATCTGCTATGATTAAGACCCAATTAAGCTGGCACAGGTTAGAGAATCACTGCTCCAAGCTTTTCCAGCCTCCCAAGTGCTCACACCGGGACTGCCACGCACTTTGGAATTCCTCTGCCTTTGCACCTCAAAAAGCAACAGCGTGTCCGGGGGAGCTGGGAAAGGCACAGAGCTCCAGAGCAACTCCTGTGTTTGCAGTCCCACCCTGAGAACTCACCTGCACTGCTCGGTGGAGCGGGGAGAACGACCTGGCAGGGCTCAGGCACCTCCTCCCCCTCCCAGGCCTGCCCTGGCAACCAGGCCCAGCCCAGGGAACGGCTGCATTCCACAGCCAAAGGCCTCCCAGCAGGGCTGCTGCACAGGCACAGAGCCCAAGGGTGTTCCTCACACTCCTTTGTCTTCCTGCGATCAGTGGAAGGGTTGGGAGACACCTCAAAGTTCAGCCAGTGCCACCCCCTGCCCTGGCAGGGACACCTTTCACTAGCCCAGGTTGTCCCACCTGGCCTTGGACACTTCCAGGGATGGGGAATCCATTCCAGGGCCTCACCAGCCTCACAGGGAGGAATTTCATCCCAATATCCCATCTGAATCTGCTTTTTAACCTTATCTCCCCCTTTATCTGCCATTCCTGTGCCTCACCAGCCTCACAGGGAGGAATTTTTCCCAGCTGTAGGATGAGGTGGAAGGCTCTGAGCTGGACAAGGATCTAAACCAGGGAAGCTGATGTGACATGGCCTGTGACAGCAGCTGCCACCCCACCAAGCTGAGGCCCTTTTGCTGCTCTCTAAACCAGTATCTGACCAAAAAATAACTTTTCAGACCATTTATTAAGGTGACTTTTGCTAAACTTCCAGATGAAGATTTTGACTCGCCTCATCAGCAATTAATTGTTGGCACTGAGCTGTGGCACATTTAGCAAAGGGACTCAGCCAAAGGCTCCTGCTGCTCCCATCCACATTTCCTAGGGATGAACCCAACCACGGCACAGCCCAGCTCCAGCTGGACCCCAAACCAGCCACCTCTGAGCTCCCCCAGTGCCACAGGTCCTGGACAAACTGGTGCCAGCTCAGGGCAAGGCAGCAGAACAGCCACGATGCCTTGGGCAGCCGAAACACCTCTTGTAGGTGCCACAACACCTGGGCAGAGACCAATGTCCAAGGATTTAATTTCCAAGAGCATAAAAAAAGTGGATTCTGAATTCAGCCCTGAGTTTCAGCTGCTCCAGGGGTGAAAACCTGCTGCTTTCCCTCCTAGCAGCATTTCAGGGAATGTTAATTATCACCTTATTCAGGTGAAGTGCAGCAGCAGAGCAGCAATTTTCTTACTGTGGTATTTTTAAACCCTTCTTGGACAGAGATTTCCTCTTTTAAGGGGGAATGAAAGACTCTCAAGAGGAAAGGAGGATGAGAAATGCCCTGCTCTGCTCCCTCAGTGCTGGGAGACAAAACCCCCCAGCCTGGGGCACTTAGAACGTGGCTCCAGCCCCGTTATTTTATTAACAGAAATCTGTGTCCGTGTGGGTGACACAGGGGCTGAATAATGGTGTTAACACTTCCCAGCTCTCCATGTCAATGGAGACATCTCCAGCCTTCCCAGGGAGGCTCCTGGGCCCTGACCTCGGCAGCTCCGCCGGGATCGGGGATTCGAGGCACCACCAGGACTCAGAGCGCTCCCAGAAACCCCACTGGGCTCACACGCCCGAGCTGCAGAGCAGCGAGATCCCAGATGAGTTTTACTTGGCCGTAATTCACATTTCTGAACCCAAATCTGTTCCGCTTTCCCGGGAATTCACCCTGGGAGTGCTCAGAACCCGTGACCTCCCACAAATCCCACTCAGCTCAAGGCTACGCACACACGTCCCAGAGCAGTGAGATCCCAGACAAGTCTGAGTCTGCCATAATTCTGATTTCTGGAAATCCTAATTTTCGTAATTCCAGGTTTCTGAGCCTAAACCTGGGCTGCTTTCCTGAAAACTCACTCTGAGAGCACTCGGAATGGGTGACCTCCCACAAATCCCACTCAGCTCAAGGCTACACACACACACGTCCCAGAGCAGAGCACTGAGATCCCAGATAAGTCTGACTCTACCATGATTCTGGTTCCAGGTTTCTGGAAATCCTAATTTTCACAATTCCAAGTTTCTGAGCCTAAACCTGCGCTGTTTTCCTGGGAATTCACCCCCAGAGTGCTCGGAACGTGCTGGAGCTGCCTCTCCTCCTTTTATCTGCTTTTCCAATCTCATCCTCCCAAAGGGAGGAGGGAAACCTCCCTGTCAGCTCCAGTCAGGACTCACCAGTTCCAACCAGTACTGCAGGACCTGCCGGGGAGCTGGGATGGGGCAGAAGCCGCAGCTCCTCTCCGTCTGCTGCCCACACGGAGATTCCCAGGAGACAACCCCACACGGCAGCAGCCCGTGGGGAGCCCTGCACGTGCCCCCAGTGCTCCCACACACCCGTGGAAAATCTCCTCTCACGGGCACTGCCCCACCACCTGCTCACCCCAGCCCCGAGGGAGCTCTGCCTCCTGCCAAGGGTGTTTTGGTTATCCACCACCTCCCCCAGCAGGGTATTTGGAAAAGAGAAGGGGATTTAAAGGTTTAAAAGGGAATTTAGAACCCTTTTAAATTCCTGGGTGGTTCCCAGCGCTCTGTTCCGGTGAGGATTTCCTCTGTCCCATCCACCTGTGCTCTGGGAACTTCCTGAGCAGCCACTGCAGCTCCTCTGGCTCTTCCAGTCCCCACATTCCAATCGTTATTCCAGCACTGTGGAACAGGTTCTAGAAGCTTCCCAGCAGCACTGATGGGCAACGTGGAGGCTCAGCTTGACCACAGAGCCCTCAAGGCTCTGTTGGATATCCCTGGATTTATCCTGGTCTCTGGCACACTGAACTCACCAGGGGAATCTCAAATCTCCCCATCTGTGGCATTGAGGAAGTTCCCAAACCTGTTCTTGTGTTCTCTGTCTGTATCCTAAGCCTATGGAATCCCATCTTTGTCTCCTGGAAGTATCCTGACAGCTCCCACAGCTCGAGGACACTGCAGGAATCAGGCCCTCAACAAGATTTTCCCCTCCCAGACAGCAATAAAACCTGTTTTACAAAATGACTTTTCCTTTTTTTTCCTTTTTCCTTTCCACCCCGGAAAGCTACCTTTTTTTGTTGTTGTTGTTTTTTTTCATTTTAAAAAAGCCTCATTTTAGATTTCAGACAATTCTATGCAGATGCAGCAGTGCTGCAGTTTCAGGATGATGAAATCTACAGAAATTACACTAAAAAACTCCAACTTGATCACAGTTCTCTCACTTTCACTCACGCTAAAATGAAGCATCTCCACTGTTCAGGGCTTTGGAAGAAAAATAAAAGCCTGGCTGGGGATAAGGGCCCAAAAACCATCGGTTAACGCTGTCCCCAGCTCAAATTCCTGACAAAACAAAACCTCAGGAAGTGCTACTGCCTCCAGTCCTTCCAGCCAGGCCCGTGGAGGTCACAGAACCACGGAATGGTTTGGGTTGGAAGGGACCTTGAAGCTCATTCAGCCCCCCCTGCCATGTGCAGGGACACCTCCAGGGATGGGACATCTCTGGAAAATCCTTTCCAGTGTTGCACCACCCTCGGAGGGAGGGATTTTTTCCCCACTATCCCACCCAACGCTGCTCCCTGGCAGTTGGGAATCCTCGTCCTGCCGCTGGAGATGTGGGAATGCTGCCGGCAGCTCCCAGGGCAGCGCAGCTCTTCTTTCCCAGCCCGTTTTCCACCCTGCACGTGGAAAACTCCGGCTCTTCTTGAGGGAACGCTCACGTCCACCAGAGCTCTGCCACGAGCTGGCTTCGGGTGGCTGAAGGAAGGCGGTTAATTAGGGTTAATTAGCTCCGGGGGAGCGCGGGATTCCGCTCGGGATGCACGTGGGGGAGGAGATCCAGCGGCTCACCTGCACCGGGCACAGCAGCACCACGGCAGCCCCGGGGCTTTCCGTGAGCCTCCACCCCCTCCTCAGGGGCGTTTTCGCTATTCCTCGTTTTTTTTTATGGAATTCTGGAATGTTTTGGGCTGGAAGGGACCTTAAATCCCATCCCGTTCCAGCGGACCAGGCTGCTCCGAGCCCTGTCCAGCCCGGCCTTGGACACTTCCAGGACAGCGCCCAGCGCAGGGATGGATTTCCCGCAGAAAATCCCAACTTCGCAAACAGATCCGCTCAGCCTGCACGCTCTGGATTGTTCCACGCGTTACTTACCGGGAGTTTTCCGCTGTTTCGGCCGCCACCGTTCGGCGGGTGCCGGTGGCCGAGAAACGCGCAAACACCCCCGAACACCCCCCGCCACCCGCGCGGCGGCCCCATTCATTCCGCGCAGATTCATCGCGGTACACCGGGACCGAGCCGGCAACCGGGACCGAGCCGGCAACCGGGGCCGAGCGACCAACCGGGGCCGGACCGGCGGCCGAGCCGGGGCGCTCCGCCCTCACGCGGTAACCGGAGCCGGGCCCACCCGATAACCGGGGCAAGCCCGCCGCAAGGTCAGCAGGCGGCGGGAGCCCGCGCTCGCTCGGCGGCGCCGGGGCGGCTCCCGCGGCCCGGTGGGGCCTGGCGGGGCCTGCCCCGCGCCGCTCCCATCCCCGGGCCCTCACATGGCGGATGGCGACGGCTCTCCGGCGGGGCGCTCCGGCGGGGCGTGTGTGGCGGGCTGTGCGGGCGGCGCGGCGGCGGTCGGGCGGTGCCGGGAGGGCTCCGGGAGGGTTCCGGGAGGGCTCCGGGGGCTCCGGCGGCGGCTCCGGGCGGGCTCGGGGCTCGGCGCGGCCTCGCTCCCACAATGCCCCGCGCGCGCTCGGCCCGTGGTGACGCAGCAAAATCCCCGCGCGCGCCGCCTCCTCCCGCCGCCGCCACCGCGCATGCGCGGCGCCCCAAGCGCGCCCCCGCCCCGCGCGCGCCCCCGCCCCGCCGCCCTTCCAGCAGCTTCTCGGCGCGCATGCGCAGTGCGGCGCCGTGACCGGGCGGGGACCCCCGGGACCCACCCCCGGTTCGTGTCCCCGGTGAGCCCCGGGACCCACCCCCGGTTCGTGTCCCCGGTGAGCCCCGGCAGCACGGCCCGACCCCAAACCGGCTCCGCTCTCCCATCAGGGAGTTGTGGGGTGAAAATTCCCCTCTGAGCCTCCTTTCCACCAAGGCAGTTCCAAAGCCTGACCACTTTTCCAGGAGGAAATTCCTCCTGATGTCCACCCTGAACCTCTCCTGGAGGAATTTGGGGCTGTTTCTTTTCCTCCTGCTGTTCCTGGGAGCAGATCCCAACCCCGCTGTCCCATCAGGGAGTTGTGGGGTGGAAATTCCCCTCTGAGCCTCCTTCCCTCCAGGCTGAGCCCCTTTCCCGGCTCCCTCAGGGCCTCTCCAGACCCTTCTCCTGCTGCTCCAGCCCTTCCCCAGCTCTGGCCACGCTCCAGCCCCTCGATGTCTGTGGCCGGGGGGGCCCAGGGCTGGAGCCAGCACTGGAGGGGCCCCAGCAGTGCCAGCACAGGGGGACAATCCCTGTGCCCACGGCTGGGACAGCCCAGGTGCCACCCTGGCCACACCTGGGCACACCTGGGCTCTGTCCAGCCGCTGGCACCAGCGCCCCAGAGCCTTTCCCAGCTCTCCAGCCCCTCTCCCGCAGCCTGGAGTGTTCCATGGGGTTGGTGGTGCCTTGTTGAGCCATTGGATCCATCCTGTCCAGCTGGCTCTGCAGCTTCCTGCTCTCCAGCAGATCAACATCCCACCCAAGCTGGTGTCATCCACAAACCAAGGTGCCCTCAATCCCCTCACCCAGATCATGGATAAAGACATCCCGGGGCTGTCTGTGTCCATCCACCCCCTGGATGCAGCCCAGCTCCCCACCAGGTGTGAACCCCGAGGAGTGCACGTGTCCCAAAGGCTTTACTGGAGCCCACAGCCCCCATCCACAGCCTTTCCCTCACCCGTGATCCCCGCCAGGGAAGGGAAGAGCCCCCCTGAAGGGAACCCTGAGGGGATCAAGGGGTGACCCTGCAGCTGACTGAGCTGACCTGGGCTCGTGTCCAGCCAGGCTCTGGGACAGGAAGGAAAGGAGGGAACGGGCAGGTGGTGTTCCAGGAGGGGTATCAGCGCCGGGATCTTCCCGGGAGGAAGGCTCCACCCTGGGAAGGGCGGGCAGCAAAGCACCACAGAGCAGCGATTTCACCAACAATAAGCCACAACTTTATTAACCAATAGAAATAGTACAAATTTTAAATTTAGCTGTATTTTACTCTTCTCTGAAACACCAAAAAAGGCTCCTCCCTCCGGCGGCTACATCGTCAGTTCCTGTGGGGAGAACGGGAGTCAGGAGCCAGCCCAGAGCCAGCAGCTCCCCCCAGGGACCCCCCAAAGCTGCTGCCCCCCAGCACTCACCATTATTGCGTTTACAATGTCGTTACTGTTGTTCTTGAGGGCTCGCACGGCCTTCGCCCGCGACACGTTCGCCTGAGACATCACCAGCTCGATGTCTTTCACCTCCACGCCGGTTTCGTCAACCTGAAGGAGAAACAGAGCCCAGGATTGCTGCCAGTTCCAGGCTTGGCACGGGCTGGGATTGTCTGGATTGGAAGCCACGAGGCCAGGCCTGCAGTGTAAACACCCCCAGGGTAGGAGCCTGTGCTGAAACGGGGATGAAGGAGAAGAATTTATGGATTAACCCAAACCACAGCCCCACAGGGAGGCTGGGGAAGGCCTTACCTCCTCTTCCTCGCTCTCCTCCTGCACGGTGGGGGTCTGTGTGTTTTCCTGGATGTTGGAAACAGGTTCTCCTTGCACTTTGAACTTTTCGGCAGCTGCCAGCTGAGCCTGCTGGGACAAGTCTTCGATCTGCAGGAGGGAAGGGAAGGAAAGGAGCGGTGAGGCCAGTCCTGGGCAGTGCCAGCACGCTCCCTGGCAGGAGCCACACAGTGCACAGGTGACAGGAAGGAGCCCTGTCCTGCTGGCTCCAGGGTGGGCTCACCTTGGCCTCGCCAAAGACGATGTAGGTGTCTGACGCCGGGCTCTTGTACACATCTGGCTTTGTGATGACAAAGAGGATGTTCTTGGATTTCCGGATGGTGACTCTGGTGACTCCTGTCACCTGGCGAAGGCCCAGCTTGGACATTGCCTGAAAAACACCGGGGAAAGGTCAGCGAGGGAAGAAGAGCTCTGGAGCCAGCCCAGATGTGCCCACTCCTCTTTCCAGAGTCCCAGATCCAACATTTGCTGCATGGAGACGCATGGAAATGTGCATCTTCTGCCATGGAGCAGCACTCCTGGGCTGTCAGCTGGAGGGAACATCCCATCCAGGACCAGTGAGATCTCCAGTGTGACTCTGAGCCCTGGCACTGTTCACCAGGGACGGGTGAAGCCTCACCTTCCGAGCTTTCTTCTCGCTCCGGCTCTGTTTTGCTTTGCTGACGGGTTCTTCATCTATTTCGGCCGCTGCCGCGAGCTGCAGGGAGGGAAATCCAGAGAGACCCGTGACAATGCTGGGGTGACACCGCAGGGACTCTGACCCACCACGGCTGGCATGTGCCACCTGCCCTACCTGTGCCTGTTGTGTCGTGGCCTGTGTGGAGTCCTGCTCTTCGAGCTCTGGTACGGATTCATCACTGTCGGACTCTGTGCCAGACCCTGCAGAGACACACACCCCTCACTCTTCCCACCTCAGGTAGGTCCAGGGCACACAGCCTTTGCTGCTGGCTCCCAGTGAAGCCCAGTTAGGTGGTGGATGGAGCATTTCCTGCACTCTGAGTGCCATCAGGAGCTCTCACTGCACCCCAAATGGCATCAGCAGGGTGGCACGAATGGATCCTCAGCCTCGGCCCTCAGTGGGAGCCGGGTGCCAGAGCCCCACAGGTGCCTGGAGGCTCCAGAATGAACCCAGAGGTAGCTCCAGCCTGTGACAACAGCTCAAGGAGGAGGTGGGTGACACTCCCAGGGTGCTGAGGTGGCAGCAGCCCAGTGTGACAGGGCCCCTCTTGACTCCCCTCTAACCCAGAGCTGACACACGCACCGAGACCCCACTCACCGAGCCCTCAGGGCTGCTGCACATCCGTGGCTTCACTACAGGGATGATCTGGGATAACCCCAAACCCCTCCCAGGGAACAGCACCTCTGGGTGCCCAGAGGGCCACCAGCTGCAGTGCCACCACTACTTGTGACCCACGGCACCGAGCACACCAGTTATCGAAGCAGAGCTGGGTGTCCCCAGCGGTCACGGGGAGGTGACCATGATGCTCCCGTGCAGCCATTACCTGGATTGAGTCCTCAGTCCTCTGGGAAGGGCCTCTGTGCCCACGGCACACAGGAGCCCTGGCAAAGCTCTCTGCAGGTGTCAGGGTGTGCCCAGGCTCCCCAACACTTCAGGCATAGCGTGGGGACAGCCCAGTTTGGCACCAACGCTGCCCACTGCCCCCCTTCCGCCGCCAACCGGCCACGGGGAGCCCACGGGGACACCACCCGCAGCAGGAACAGGCCCGTGGCAGCTCCTCCGTGTGAAGCCAGCTCAGCTCGCGGTGCCCATGCCACAAACCACACCGTGCTCCGTGCCCGAGGACACGCGTTAGTGACCGCCGGCACCGTGCCGAGCCCCGGCCCTCCCCGTGCTGCCGGGCTCGCTCCAGCCCGGCCCGCGCGGCCCCGGGCCCGTTAGTACCCCGTGGGCAGCCAGTGACACTCCATGCACACGGCAAACCGCAAATACCCTTGTCATTCTTGAGGACGGGCTGCGGCGCCAGCGGGGCCGGGACCCCCGCGGGCGGGGACAGCTCCAGCAGCACGGGCGGCTCGGGGGGGAGCAGAGGTGGCAGGTCCTCATCCTCAGCGCCGGGTGGGGCTTTCGAGGGGGGGCGAGTGGCCAGCTTGGCCACCTTGTCATTGGTGGGGGGCTGCTGCTTCTTGGCGGGGGGAGCGCTCGGCGCAGAGCCAGGACGGCCGGCGTCTGCTTTGGAGGGGGTTGGGGGCTTTGGAGGGGCACCAGAAACACCCGTGGCTGGAGCAGGAGGTGTGGCTGGAGCTGCTGGAGGTGGAGCAGCCTTGACAGGGCTCTTTGGGGGTGCCTTGGCCTCAGCAGGGCTTTTTGAGGGTCCTTTGGCCGCAGCAGGGGTGGCTGGAGGGGGAGCAGCTTTGACAGGGCTTTTTGGGGGTGCCTTGGCCTCAGCAGGGGTAGATGGAGCTGGGGTGGCTTTGACAGGGCTCTTTGGGGGTGCCTTGGCCTCAGCAGGGCTTTTTGAGGGTCCTTTGGCTGCAGCAGGGGCCACTGGAGCTGGGGTGGCTTTGACAGGGCTCTTTGGGGGTGTTTTGGCTGCTGGGGGGGCACTGGGAGCTGGGGTGGCTGTAGCAGGGCTCTTGGGAAGCACTTGGGCAGGATCTGGAGGTGTTTTGGCCTCACCAGGGATGGCTTTGGCAGGGCTCTTTGGGGGTGCTTTGGCCTCAGCAGGGGTTGGGGTAGCTTTGGCAGGGCTTTTTGGGGGTGTTTTGGCCTCAGCAGGGGCTGGGGTAGCTTTGGCAGGGCTCTTTGGGGGTGCCTTAGCCTCAGGAGAGGCTGCTGAAGCTGGAGTGGCTTTGGCAGGGCCCTTTGGGGGTGTTTTGGCCTCAGCTGCAGGGGTTGGGGTAGCTTTGGCAGGGCTCTTCGGGGGTGTTTTGGCTGCTGGAGGGGCAGCTGGAGCTGGGGTGGCTGTAACGGGGCTTTCTGGGGGTGCTTTGGCCTCAGCAGGGGGGGCTTTGACAGGGCTCTTTGGAGATGCCTTGGCCTCAGCACAGGCACCTGGAGCTACAGGAGTGGATGGGGCAGCGTTGGGGCTGCCCTTGGGAGGTTTTTGGGCTGCTCCAGGGGAAGCCGGAGCTGGGGTGGCTTTGGCAGGGCTCTTTGGGGGTGCCTTGTCCTCTGTGGGGGTGGCTTTGGCAGGGCTCTTTGGGGGTGTTTTGTCCTCAGTGGGGGTGGCTTTGGCAGGGCTCTTTGGGGGTGCTTTGTCCTCAGTGGGGGTGGCTTTGGCAGGGCTCTTTGGGGGTGCTTTGTCCTCTGTGGGGGTGGCTGGGGCTGGGGTGGCTTTGGCAGGGCTCTTTGGGGGTGCTTTGTCCTCTGTGGGGGTGGCTGGGGCTGGGGTGGCTTTGGCAGGGCTCTTTGCGGGTGCCTTGTCCTCTGTGGGGGTGGCTGGAGCTGGGGTGGCTTTGGCAGGGCTCTTTGCGGGTGCTTTGGCTGCTGGAGCTGGCAGAGCTGCAGGAGCTGGGGTGGCAGGGGATGGGGGAGCAGCAGCTGAGCTCTTGGGAGCGGATTTAGCTGCAGGTGGGGTGGCTGGAGCTGGGGTGGGGGCAGTTGGAGTGGCAGCTGGGGCAGCAACAGAGCCCTTGGCAGCATCTTTGGCTGAGGGAAGAGCAGCTGCAGAGGGTGAAGCTGCCACGGTCGGTGTGCCAGGGACACAAGGGGCAGGGACCGGGCTCCCAGGAGCTGCTCTGGCCGCTGGAGGGGCGGCTGGAGTTGCCATGGCCGGGGTGACAGGGGCAGCAGGAGATGTTTTAGCCACAGGAGAGGCAGCCAGAGGTGCCATGGGAGGTGTGACAGGGACAGAGGGGGCAGCTGGAGCGGTGACCGGGCTCCCAGGAGCTGCTTTGGCCGCTGCAGGGGTGGCTGGAGCTGGCATGGCCGGGGTGACAGGAGGAGAGGGGGCAGCAGCTGGACTTGGAGGAGCTGGTTTGGCCACAGGAGGGGTGGCTGGAGCTGCCATGGCCGGGGTGACAGTGGGGCAGCTGGCAGAGGGGACAGCACGCACAGGAGCTGCTGCTGGGAACACGGGGCTCACTGGAGGTCCTGGGACAGAGGTGGCAGCTCCCAAGGTGGGTGTGGACAGGGCAGGAGCCACCGGAGGGGCTGGGCTCCCAGGAGGGGTCCTGGCTACTGAGGGAGGGACTGGGTGTCCCACAGCTGGGAGCAGAGGGGCAGGGCCCGTGGGAGAGGCCTTGGCAACAGAAGGAGCAGCTGGGAGCAGTGGTGAGACTGGGGCACCAGGGGCTGGGCCAGCAGCAGGATGCCCAGGGGACATCCCGGCCGGCAGCAGAGGGATAGGGGGTGACAAGGGAGCTTTGGGGGCAGCCAGGAAGACAGGGGGAGAGATGGCACTGACCAGGGCCGGAGCTGGGGCTCGGGGGGAGGCTGCAACAGCAGGAATTCCAGGAGACACCGGGAATGTGGGAAGTGGGGGTGATCCCGGACTCTGGGGGGACACTGCCACAGCGGGAGCAGGCAGCAAAGTGGGAGGCACTGGTGGGGGAGATGCCAGGAGGGGACGGGATGGGGGCGGTAGGAGAGGGGCTGGGGCTGCTCCAGAGGCAGGGAGAGGGGCTGGGGCTGCTCCAGAGGCAGGGAGAGGGGCTGGGGCTGCTCCAGAGGCAGGGAGAGGGGCTGGGGCTGCTCCAGAGGCAGGGAGAGGGGCTGGGGCTGCTCCAGAGGCAGGGAGAGGGGATGGGACTGCTCCAGAGGCAGGGAGAGGGGCCAGAGATGCAGCTCCCACCGAGGCTGCAGCAGGAGCAGTTTTCATGGGAGAGGTGAGAGCAGCTGGGAGAGAAGTGGGGCTCACTGGGGGGACAGGAGGGGCCACTGTCACTGCAGCAGAAGCAGCAGCCAGGCCAGGTGACACTGGGGCTGGGAATCCTGGGGACACTGGGCTAACCGGGGCAGGCCCTGGAGATCCTGGGGCTGCAAAACCCACGGGGGCCTGCGGAGCTGGAGGAGGGGCAGGGGCGACTGGGCCCAGCAGAGGCAGGGCAGGGGGCTGGGGGGCCATGGAGAACACGGGGATGGCTGCAGCCGGGACCACGGCGGGGGACACGGGGCCCGGCAGAGCCGGGGCAGAGCCGGGCAGCTGTGCCGGGAGAGCCTGGGCGGATGAAGATGGAGTCAGAGGTGGGGAATGAGCAGCATGAAGAACAGCTAAAGGAGAGAAACAGAGTGAGCCATGAGAGGAGGGAGGGAGAGAAGGAGAGAAAGGAGGGGGCATGCAGCCAGCCCTGGCATTCCTCTGGCCTCTGTGCCTGGCTGCTGGCCCAGCAGGCACTGCCCAGCCTGCCAGGGTCAGCACGGACCAGGACATTCATTCCCTTCTAGAACAGATCTTCCTGAGAGCCCTGAATGGCAGGAGGCACTCCCTGAACCACCAGGAATCTCCAGTGGGCCAGAGAAGCAGGGATGCAGCTCTGCCACACCAAAGGGGCTGTCACAACCTCTGTGGAGCCCGAGCTGCTCACAAGCCTGGGGGAACAAAGACCCACCTAAGAAGAGGGAGGGAAAGTCCAATATAACCCACTGGCATGTGGAATTACTCCTGGAGTGCCCAGTGAGCCCCCTCCCTCCATCTCTGGGTGATATGGGCACAACGCCATGGGGGTGGTGGGGCCAGGCCCCCCAGTGCCCCCCACTTCCCTGGAAGCTGTTAGGGTTAATGGAATGCAACCCCCAGAATGGCACACGCTGGTTAATGCGGCACACGAGGGGTTACAGGAGGGTCCCGAGTACCTGGAGCAGGGGTGGGAGCAGGAACGGGGGCAGCTGGAGCTGAACGGGGAGAACAAGAGTTTATTAAGGTAAGTCCCACTGAGCAGGAACAGCTCCCAGCTCCTCAGGCAGCTCCCGAGAGCCTGGAGAGAGCCTGGCCATTCCCAATCCAGCTGGTGATCCAAGGGCACTGCCCAGGCAACAGGCCATGCCAGGGCTGAGCTGCCAGCTCCTGAGAGCCTGGAGAGAGCCCTGACATTCCCAAGGAAATTCCCAATGAAATTCCCAATGAAATTCCCAATGCCAACCAGCAATCAAAGGGCACTGCTGAGGGAAGAGGCCGTGAGAGGGTTCAGCTTCCAGCTCCTGAGCCAGAGCCGAGCCTGGAGGGAGCCCTGACACTCCCAGCATCATTCCCAGCTCCCACTGGAGATCCCAGGGAGGGCAGTGCTGGTCCAACCGGTGCTGCTGGCCAGGGGAGCAGAACCGGCCCGGGCACGCTGACACCCTCTGCCACCCAGAGCCCAGAGCCAGCCCCGCTCCAGGGACCTTGTCCCTGTCCCAGCCTGGGATCAGGGCCACAGTCGTGTCCTGGACTCGCTGCCACAGCCACACGTGCATGGAATGCAGGGAATGACGTCCCTGAAAGGTGCTTCTAATGCCCTGTTTTACCCCAAAGCACGGCACCGTGGGGAGGATGGGCAGGCCTGGAGCTGGGCATCAGTGCCAGCGGGTGCCAGGACACCTCCTGCTCCAGGGAATGTCCTGGTGCCTCCCGAAGGAGGAACAAGTGCTGCCAAGGGCTGTGCTGGGCTGGCCCATCACGGAACAGGCCGTGCAGAGCTCTCCTCTCCAGAACAATCCTTTGTCCCTGCCTGCTCTCCCTGTTCCTTCTGGCACCATCTGAGCACATTCCTGATGAACACAATCATTCCTGCTTGTCGCTTCTCCCCTACAACCCCCACCTTTCCTTGGGCTCTTCTCAAAGATCCCAACTACAGCATTCCCCAAAACCAGGGGATTTCTGCCCAGAGTCCCTCTGGATCAGCGTGGACCAGCCCCACCTCCAGGATTTTTCCAGGGACCTCCAAGGAATAAGATGGAAATCCAAGGAGCTGCCTGAGGAATCCCATGACACCATCAGAGACTGGAGAGCAGCAGAATTTTGGGAGCTGTCAGCTGAGAGGGACAGAAGAGCCATTCCAGGGAGGGGGCCCCAAACAGGAATTCCAGCTACGCAGGGAGGGATAAGGAGCTCAGCAGCTCCTGGGAATCATCGGCGCAGCTGTCACAGCAACAGCCATCACTCAGCTCCCTCCTCGTGTCCCCTCTCTGTCACCAACCCTCAGTGGTGGCCCCCCAATGGGACAGTGCCCAAAATCCTATGAGAGACCCCCAAATCTAATGGGGCAGATCCCCAAAATTCAGTGAGAGACATTTAAATCCAACAGGACAGACACCCAAAATTCAGCGAGAAACCCCCAAATCCAGAGGAACAGATCCCAAATCCAAAGGGACAGACTCCCAAAATTCAATGAAATAGCCCCAAATCCAGAGGGACTGATCCCAAATCCAACAGGACAGACATCAAAAATTCAGTGAGAGACCATCAAATCCTAAGGGGCAGACCCCCAAAACTGAATGAAAGACCCCAAATCCAGAGGGACAGATCCCCAAAATTCAGTGAGAGATCCCCAGATGCAGAAGGACAGATCCTCAAAATTGAATGAAAGACCCCTAAATCCAGTGGAGAAGACCCCCAAATCCAACAGGGAAGATCACCAAATCCACTGGAAGACCCCCAACTCCAAGGGGAGACACCCCCAAATCCAACAGTTCACTCTCAGATTGGGTGACAACACCCAAAATCCAGCAGGAAAATCCCCAAATCCATTGGGACATTGCCCCAAAGCCAGTGGGACTGGCCCCCAAATCCAACAGGACAGGACCCCCAAATCTAATGGGACAGACCCCCAAATCCAATGGGACAGGGCCCCCAAATCCAATAGTACAGGACCCCCAAATCTAATGGGACAGACCCCCAAATCCAATGGGACAGGACCCCCAAATCCTACACCCCGACCTGGCCACGGCCGCTGCCCCCGCTCCCACGCACAGCACTCTCCGAGCCGTCCCGTCCCCGGGAGTTTGGGACACGAGGAGTCCCCGCTCCCTCGGCTCCGGTCACGTTCCCCGTGGGATAACCACAGAACCGGCCCGGTTCGTTTCGGCCACAGCGAGACCACGGAACGGACACCCCAAAACCCCCGCGGGGGACGTGACAAGACTCGAACCGGGCTCAGACAACCCCCGCCGCCACCGGGTCCCGGCCCACCCGCCCTCTCCGGGAAGCTGCAGCTCCTCGCCCGGCGAGGGGATCCCGAGGAATCACCCCCAAAACCGCCCCCGAGCACCCCCCGGCCTCACCTGTCTCTGCCTGCGGCTGCGGCAGCTCCTGCTCCGTGGCCGGGACGGTTTCTGTAGCTTCGCCGGGCATTTCTACGGGAATGGACAAACCGACAGGCTCGCCGGGGCTCCGGGACAGCCCGGGGGCCACCACCAGTAACTCGTCCTTCCCACCCCGCAACTCCACTACCGGGAGAGTCTACCAAGACAGCTCGGCCGCACAGCACAGGCAGAGCCCGGTCCCGGTCCCGGGCCTAGGCCGCCTCCTCCCCTCCCCGCGCCGGTACGCGGGGCTGCCCCCTCCGCCCTGCCCGGCGCGCCCACGACCCCATCGATGGCCGCAGCCGGGTCCTCCCTGCCAGCCGCTCATCCCGCTAGCGGCGAGCGGCGCCCTGAGCGGGGGATGGCGGCGGATGGCGGCGCGGGACTCACTGTGCGGGGAGCGGGGCCCAAGATGGCGGCGGAAAGAGACCGAGAGGGCAGCGCGACTTCCGGGAGCGCGGCACTTCCGGGGCAGGGGGAGACACGGGCAGCACGGTCCGGCCCGGCCCCCAGGGCCGCGCTCCGGCGTTCCGGGCTCTGTTCGGACCGCATCGTGGGTGAGGGGCGGGCCCGGGGGGGTTTGGAGCTCCTGAGGGGATTTGGGATCTCCTGAGGAGAGTCGGGACATCCTGAGGGGGTTTGGGAACCCCAGGATGGGGTTTGGGATCTCCTGAGGGGGATTGGAAACCTGGGATGGGGTTTGGGATCTCCTGAGGGGGTTTGGGATCTCCTGAGGGGGGTTGGAAACCTGGGATGGGGTTTGGGATCTCCTGAGGGGGGTTGGAAACCTGGGATGGGGTTTGGGATCACCTGAGGGGGGTTGGGATCCCTGGGATGGGGTTTGGGAACCCCGGGATGGGGTTTGGGATCTCCTGAGGGGGTTTGGGATTTCCTGAGGTGGGTCAGCACAGGATTAGGGGGTCAGGACAGGGTCCAGGCAGGGTTAGGGGGTCAGGGCAGGGGGTCTAGGCAGGATTAGAAGAGGGTCAGGACAGGATTAGGGGGTCAGGACAAGGTCCAGGCAGGGTTAGGGGTCAGGACAGGTTTAGGGGGTCAGACGAGGGGGTCAGGACAGGATTTGGGGGTCAGGACAGGGGCCTGGCAGGGGACGGGGGCAGTGACCCCACACTGCAGAGCAGGGACCCCTCCCCAGCTCCCCCACCTCGGCACGTCCCAGCACACGGGTGAGCAGAACCATTTAATGGTGTTTGTGTAGAAAACGGTACAAAAGGTACAAAAACAGGGCAGGGACAGGGGGCCCCGCTGGTTTGGGACCCCCACGGCCAGAGGAGGTGACAGTGACAACATGTGAGACATGGCAGTGTCAAGGCCTCAGAAATCTCCTTGAAGATCTGCAAAAAGGAGAAATGGGAAGGTTTTTCCAGACAAAACAAAGCTGTCAGAGCAACAGCCATGGCTCAGCTCCTCCCTTGTGTCCCTCTCTGTCACCTCATGCTCCCAGATCTGATGGGACAGAACCCAAATCCAAAGGGACAGAGCCCCAAAATTCAGTGAGAGACCCTCAAATCCAGAGGGACAGGCCCCAAAATTCAATTAAATAACCCCAAATCCAGAGGGACGGAGCCCAAATCCAACAGGGCAGACACCCAAAATTCAGTGAGACACCCCCAAATCCAATTAAAGACCCCCAAAATTGAATGAAAGACCTCAAATCCAAAGGGACAGACCCCAAAATTCAGTAAAATACCCCCAAATCCAAAGGGACAGACCCCAAAATTCAATTAAATAACCCCAAATCCAGAGGGACAGACCCCAAATCCAACAGGGCAGACCCTAAAAATTCAGTGAGAGACCCCCAAATCCAAAGGGATAGACCCCAAATCCAATGGGAGGCCCCCAAATCCCAAGGGCCAGACTCCAAATCCAATGGGAGGCCCCCAAATTCAAAGGGACAGATCCCAAATCCAAAAGGACAGACCCCAAATCCAACGGGAGGCCCCCAAATCCAAAGGGACAGACCCTCAAATCCCACAGGAGCCCCCCAAATCCGGGATCAGAGGCAGAAGGCCACTCTTGGGGTCCTTTTTGGGGCACCCACCGCTGCGGCGGATCCGCTCTCCCCGGCGGGCGCTCTCCAGCCCCTCCACGAAGCGCTCGAAGAGCCGCACGTACGGGGCCAGGCTCGTCCTCCTGTAGTCTGCAGGATTTGGGGAGTGGGCAGTGGGTGCTGGGGACCCCAAACTCCAACCCTGAGCTCCAAACCCCAAGCCTAACCCCCAAAACCCCAGCCCCGACCCCGAAACCCTGACCCTAACACCCAAAACCTCAACCTCGACCTTCAAATGCCATCTCTGACCCCAAACCCCATCTCGGACCCCATCCCCATCTCTGACCCCATCCCTGATCCCAAAACCTGTCCCCAAACCCCACCTCTGACTCCCAACCTGTCCCCTGTCCCCAGACTCCAAACCCTGACCCCAAACCCCAAACCCTGACCCCAGGCCCCATCCCTGACCCCAAACCCGCCCCGCTCACCCCTCGTGCGCCGTTTGGGCTCCGTCTCGGCCCCGTCCTCCTGCTCGCCATCGCTGCCGGCTGCGTCCAGCTCCTGGCACAGGGAACTGCCGGATCGGCGGGGTCAGGGTTAGGGTCAGGGTTGGGGTTTGGCTTTAGGGTTTGGGTTTAGAGTCAGGGTTTGGGTTAGGGTCAGGGTTTGGGTTTGGGGTTTGGCTTTAGGGTCAGGGTTTGGGTTTAGGGTTTGGATTTAGGGTCAGGGTTTGGGTTTAGGGTTTGGGTTTAGAGTCAGGGTTTGGGTTAGGGTTTGGATTTAGGGTCAGGGTTTGGGTTTGGGGTTTGGGTTTAGGGTTTGGTTTTAGGGTCAGGGTTTGGGTTTAGGGTTTGGGTTAGGGTTAGGGTCAGGGTTAGGATTAGGATCAGGGTTTGGGTCTGATTTTGGGTGAGGGTCAGGTTTAGGGTCAGAGTTTGGGTCTGATTTTGGGTGAGGGTCAGGTTTAGGGTCAGGGTTTGGGTTGCCGTTAGGGTTAGGGTTAGGGTTAGGGTTAGGATCAGGGTTTGGGTCTGATTTTGGGTGAGGGTCAGGTTTAGGGTTAGGTTTAGGGTCAGGGTTTGGGTTGCCGTTAGGGTTAGGTTTAGGGTTAGGGTCAGGTTTAGGTTTAAGGTCAGGGTCAGGATCAGGATTTGGGACGTGCTGGGGGTCCCTGGCAGCAGCAGTACCCCCCAGTACTCCCAGTTTACCCACCTGATGGTGGGGACAGCAAAGGGGTCAAACTGGTCCAGCCTCTGCAGGTCCAGCGGCACCGAAATGCGCCCTGAGGCAGAGCGGGGGGGGGGTGAAGGGGTTTTGGACAAGGAGAGGGGGTAACTGAGACGTGTTTTAAAAACTTCTGTTTTGTTGTTAGTCTTATGTGAAGGGTGAGATAATACAGATGCTATCATTTATAATTGCTGTAATAATTTTAATTTATAATAATAATAAACTAAAATAACATCAAATCTAATCTAGTATTTGATTATGTAATATATGTTATTTTAAATTTATATATAAATTATATATTAAAACATACGTAATTTATATATTAAAATATCTTTTTATCCACTTTATATATTTTTATATGTTATATACTATATTTATATATATATATCATATATTATATATATTATGTATATGTATAATGTATTATATTTAGTATATAATACTGTATTATATATATTTTGTTATTATATATTAGTTTATATTAATAATAATATAATGTCATATAATAATATTGAAATGATAATAATATTATGTGATATTGATTATATTAATAATGATTATGGTTATATTAATAATTATTATATGATAATATTTATAATATAATATAAGATCATATAAGATCATATAAGATCATATCATGTCATATCACATATAATATCATATCATATCATATCATACCATATAACATAATATCATATAACATAACATAATATAAGATCATATAATATCATATCATACATAAAATAAAATAAAATAAAATAAAATAAATCATATCATATAACATAATATAATATCATATCATATAATACAATATCATGTTATATTATATTATATGTATCATATCATTCATAATGCTACACAATAATAACATTTACCTAATAAGTTTTAAAATTTACAATTTATACCAACTCCTATCACGACCAGAACCCAACTATTCCCCATTCCCAGCCATGACAAGCACAGACACCGAAATCTCCACTCTTATTTCTGAGCCCACCCTTGGAAACCATTTCCTCGCTCCATTTCCATCTCGGGCGCGTGTTGCAGCATTTTTGAGAGAAAGAGGACATGAATTGTGAAATTTGAGCTACTCCAGCCTAGGCCTCAGGTTGAGGCCTGGTGAGGCCTTCAAGCCTCTGACGCAGTTAGAAATTCAGAGCTTGTGGCGCAGATAGAAATAGTATTAAGGTGTGATGGGGACCACTGGGCTGTCTGGGTGTGAATTAGTATAGGTTTTATGGTGTAAGGTGTAGGCAGTTTTAAGGAAAAGGTAAACAATGTTAGCTTGCCAATCAGAGTGTCTTTGTTTTGTAAACTATGTAGAAGCTGATATAAACTACCACCTTATCTCGAATAAACGGAGAACTCTTGATTAACCACACTGGTTTAGACCTGCGTTTGTCTTGTCCAGTTTCCGTGTTTCTGAGATTGCCTGGCTTTTGGCGCGGGTCCCACCTGTTTTGGGGTGCACGCTGAAGGGGCTCTTGAGCAGGTGGCCGAGGCCTTTGCTGACGTTGACGTCGAGGCGAGGGAAGCAGAGCTGCAGCATCACCTCCCACTCGGGCCAGCCCGCCCGGCCCCGCTCCCGCTCCCGCTCGGCGCGGGCACGCAGCAGCTCCCAGCGCTGCAGCGAGTCCTTCTTCCGCGGGAACTCGGCCTGCAGCGGCTCCCGCAGCTCTGCGGCGGCGGTCAAGGCTCATCCCCCGCTTCATCCGCAGCGCATTGCCCTTACGGGAGCGTGTGTACCCTTCCAGGACCCCACCGACCCTTCCAGGACACCACTGACCCTTCCGGGAGCGTCTTTACCCTTCCAGGACCCCACTGACCCTTCCGGGACCCCATTGACCCTTCCGGGAGCGTGTGTACCCTTCCAGGACCCCACTGACCCTTCCGGGACCCCATTGACCCTTCCGGGAGCGTCTTTACCCTTCCAGGACCCCACTGACCCTTCTGGGAGCGTGTTTACCCTTCCAGGACCCCACTGACCCTTCCAGGATCCCACTGACCCTTCCAGGAACGTGTTCACCCTTCCAGGACCCCACTGACCCTTCTAGGACCCCACTGACCCTTCCAGGATCCCACTGACCCTTCCAGGAACGTGTTCACCCTTCCAGGACCCCACTGACCCTTCCAGGAGTGTGTTCACCCTTCCAGAATCCCACTGACCCTTCCAGAATCCCACTGACCCTTCCAGGACCCCACTGACCCTTCTAGGACCCCACTGACCCTTCCAGAACCCTGTTTACCCTTCCAGGATCCCACTGACCCTTCCAGGACCCCATTGACCCTTCCAGAACCCCACTGACCCTTGTAGGAGCACTTTTACCCTTCTAGGAGCCCATTTATCCTTCCAGGACTCCACTGACCCTTCCAGGACTGCATTTACCCTTCCAGGACCCCACTGACCCTTCCAGGACCCCATTTTAACCCCATATTTTGACCCCATATTTTAACTTTATCCCCATGTTAACCCCATATTTTAACTTTAACCCCACATTTTCACTTTATCCCCAGTTTAACCCATATTTTAACTTTACCCAGCATGCAAGGATACCCTCCGGGAGCAGGGCCAGCACCTTGGCCCATTTCTCGGGGCTGCCCAGGATGTCCTGGCCCAGCAGCGCGAACTCCTCGAAGTATTTCTCCACCACGGCCACCGAGCGCCTGCGGGGCGAGCACAAAAAGGGCCTTTTGTCACCCAAATTTGGGCCAACTGAGAGGTCTTCTAACACTTTTTATTCTGTTTTCAGTCTCGTGTGAAAGGTGGGATAATACAGATGTTATATATATAGATTAAAAATAATATATATATTTAAAATATATATTTCTGGGAGTCAGAAATGGCCGAATCTGGCAGCGGCACCCACCTGATGAAGGGGTGCACGGGGTGGGACAGGGTCACCTTCTTCACCGTGTCTGCACTGCCCTGGGGGACAGCGGGGTCAGCGGGGGGGGCCGGGGGTGCTGGGCACCCCAAACCCGCTGCTGGGCACCCCAAACCCGCTGCTGGGCACCCCAAACCCACCTGCGCCCCAAACCTACTGCTGGGCACCCCAAACCCGCTGCTGGGCACCCCAAACCCACCTTCTAGGCACCCCAAACCCGCTGCTGGGCACCCCAAACCCGCTGCTGGGCACCCCAAACCTGCTGCTGGGCATCCCAAACCCACCTGCGCCCCAAACCCACCTGCTGGGCACCCCAAACCCGCTGCTGGGCACCCCAAACCCACCTTCTAGGTACCCCAAACCCGCTGCTGGGCACCCCAAACCCACCTGTGCCCCAAACCCACTGCTGGGCACCCCAAACCCGCTGCTGGGCACCTCAAACCTGCTGCTGGGCACCCCAAACCCGCTGCTGAGCACCCCAAACCCGCTGCTGGGCACCCCAAACCCACCTGCGCCCCAAACCCACCTGCTGGGCACCCCAAACCCACCTGCTCTAGGGTCAGGGGCGCCTAAACATCCACAAACCCACCTTCACCACAATCAGGGGTGCACAAACTCCCCCAAACCCACCTCCTGCAGGATGAGGAGATGCCCAAAGCTCCACAAACCCACCTTCACCAGGGTGACAGGGTGCCCACAGCCCCACAAACCCACCTTCACCAGGCTCAGGGGGTGCCCAAAGCTCCACAAACCCACCTTCCATAGGGTGAGGTGATGCCCAAAGCCCCACAAACCCATTTTCACCAGGGTGAGGGGTGCCCAAACCCCCACAAATCCACCTCCTCCAGGCTCAGGGTGTGCCCAGACGCCCCCAAACCCACCTTGCACAGGGTGAGGAGTACCCAAACCCCCCCAAACCCACCTTGCACAGGCTCAGGGCTGGGCAGGGGGCTCCTGGCCCCCCTGGCACCCACCTTCACCAGGCTCAGGTACTCCACGGCTGCCGCCCGCAGCGCTGGGGACCATTTCCTGACGGCGTCGTCGCACACCCAGCAGTGCACACCCCTCCTGCCAGAGTACACCCACAGGCGGTGCCGCACGCCCAGGTCCTCTGCAGGGGCACAGATGGGTTTTGGGGGGGCACAGATGGGTTTTGGGGGGGCAGCGATGGGTTTTATGGGGGCACAGATGGGTTTTAGGGGAGTACAGATGGGTTTTAGCGGGGTACAGATGGGTTTGGGGGCACACTGGGACAGGCTGAGGCAACCACCCAAAGCTGATGGTGCTGTCCCCAAGCTTGGTGACAGCATCAACCCTCTTGAGCGTGACCAGAGGAGGGCAACAAGGCTAGTTTAATTTTAATCCCATTTTAAACCCATTTTAACCTCATATTTTAATTTTAACCCCACATTTTAACCCCATGAACAGAAACCCTCTGAGGAGGGAGCTAGGGTTGTTTATCCTGGAGAAAAGGGGTGACTTTATCACTCTACAACTTCCTAAAGGAGGTTGTAGTCAGGTGGGGTGTGGGAAATGGAGTTGTAGAAAATTCTTAAAGATTACTAGAAGGTTCACATAGTGTTTATTTGTAAGTAAATTCTGAGATTAGGAATGTTGACTTAGAAATGTTATAGAACAGGATAGGTATTGCTGAGAGAGAAATTGAATTAGATAAAGGTTTTTAAAGGATGATCTTGTAAATAAAGATGTATTGTAGTAGGACTTATGAGGGGTCATTCTAAATGATTCGTTTTAATGTATTTACAGTATAGTGTGGTTAAAGCTGATAGGGAGTTTGGAATAAAGTAGATTCTACCAAAGAATTTTCTACAAATCCATTTCCCACAGCGAGAGCTGGTCTCTTTCTCCAGACAGAACTGCCAGAACCAGAGCACACAGCCTCAAGCTGCACCAAGTGAAATTTAGGTTGGATAGTAGGAGAAAGTTTTTCATGGCAAGAGTGATAAAGTTCTGGAATGTTCTGCCCGGGGAGGTGGTGGAGGCCCCATCCCTGGGTGTGTTTCAAACAAGCCTGGATGTGGCACTGGGTGCCAGGGCTTGGTTGAGGTGTTGGGGCTGGGTTGGATGATCTTGACCTTCAACGATCTTGAAGGTCTCTTCCAACCCAGTGAAATTCTGTGAATTCTGTGAATTCTGTGAATTCTGTGGGGTCTGGGAACACACAGCCAGGGCCCACGGGGGTCCCCAAGCCCCTCACCCACGAGCGCGCGGTCGATGATGCGGACGGCGATGGTCATCAGCGTCCAGCACTTGGAGCAGATATCGGCCGAGCTGGGGGGCAGAGTGAGGGGGGTCAGGCGGACACCCCACATCCCCCAACCCCCTCCCAGCCCAGAGCCCCCCCGGGGGAACCTGCAGCACGTCCGGACGTCATCGTAATCCGTCATGTCGATGTCAAAGACCAGCTCCTTCTCCTGCGGCTGGAAGGCTCCCAGGTGCACCGTGTTGTGCTGGTTGGGCTGCGGGAGGGACGGGGTGGGCTCAGCACGGCCAGAGACCCCTGCAGACCCCCACCACGGGCCCAGCACTCACCCGGTGGGAGTAGACGGCCCCGATGTCGATCTTGTAGGGGTTGATCTTCTGCAGCTCCCGCTCCAGCTCCTGCGGGCTGCCGAAGGACTGGAAACGCAGGTACACATCGTCCCGCAGCGTGAAGGAGAATTCCCGCAGCTGGAAGTAGTTCTTCGCCACTGCGGGGAGCGGGAGGCTCGGGGACTGCGGGGGGCTCAATGCCCCCCTAAATCCCCCCATCACAGTCACCCCCAGACCCCTTCCCTGCTCCTCCCCGTGTCCCGGTCAGTGCATCCACCCACTGCCCGCCCCGGCACCCCAATGTGCTCTGGGACCCGGGATCGCGGTGTTCCCGCCCGGTATCGGTGCCTCCCGCCCGGTATCAGTGCTTCCTGCCCGGTATCGGTGCCTCCCGCCCGATATCGGTGCCTCCCGCCCGGTATCGGTGCCCCCCGCCCGGTATCGGTGCTTCCTGCCCGGTATCGGTGCCCCCCGCCCGGTATCAGTGCTTCCTGCCCGGTATCGGTGCTTCCTGCCCGGTATCGATGCCCCCCGCCCGGTATCGGTGCCCCCCGCTCGGTATCGATGCCCCCCGCCCGGTATCGGTGCTTCCTGCCCGGTATCGGTGCCCCCCGCCCGGTATCGGTGCCCCCCGCCCGGTATCGGTGCCTCCCCTCCAGTGTGGTGGTCCCGGCCCGGTATCGCTGCCCCCCACGCTGTCCCCGCCCCTCCCATGGTGTCCCCAGCTATACCCCCGGCCCGGTATCGGTGCCCCCAGTCCGGTATCAATGCCCCCTCCCCGTACCGCATCCCCGACGGTGCCCTCCGCCCGGTACCGGCGCCACCCTCCCGGTATCACGGTTCCCGGTGGAGCCCCCCGCCCCGTACCGACGCCACCCTCCCGGTATCACGGTTCCCCGTAGAGCCTCCCCGCCCCATATCGGTGCCCCCGCCCGGTATCGCCGCATCCCCCCGCCCGGTACCGGTTCCCCCCGCGCTCACCGCCGCCGTAGCTGAGCCAGCGGCCGTAGGGGCCGTGCGGGAAGAGCCGCCGGTAGAAGACCGGGAGCAGCTCGGGCAGCGCCGCCGGCTCGAACCGCGCCATGGCGGGAGCGGAGCGGCGGGAGCGGAGCGGCGGGAGCGGAGCGGCGGGAGGCGGCGGCGGCGCCCCGGGGGCCGCCGGGAGTTGTAGTCCGGCCCTGGGCCGCCGGGGCGGGGGCACCGGGGACCGGGGGTGCGCGGCTGGGGGGGAGTGGGAGGAGAGCAAAGCACCGGGGAGGTCCCGGGATGGAGGGGAGGGCATGTCCCCGGGTCCGCGGAGCCGTGGGGTCCGGGGGTGGTGAGGTGCCGGGATGTCCCGGGGTGCGAGGGGGTCCCGAGGCGGGTGGGAGACGGGGAGCTGAGCTAAGGGGGGAATTCGGGGTCCTGCAGTGCCCCGGGGCGGGTGGGTCCGGGAGCGCTGAGCTCCCGGGATGTCCCGGTGTCCGGGGATATCCCGGGATCCGGAGAGGTCCGGGGGCGTGGGGGTCCGGGAGTGTCCCGGGGTCCAAGGGGGTCTCAGGAAGGGCTGACCGGGATTGTCCCGGCAGACCCCGGTAGACCCTGAGGTGCTGAGGTCCAGAGGGAGTCTCGGCTTTCGGGATGGTCCCAGGATCTGAAGGGTCCCGGGGGATTCCCGTGATGCGGAGAGCCCCCGGGGCGGGGCGGCGCGGGGATGTCCCGGGCTCCGGGGTGGTCGCGGGGTCCGGGGGCTTCCCGGGAGGGCAGCGCAGCGGTGCGGGAACCCCGGGGCGCTGCCCTGCTCCCGTTAACTGTTCCCCGGAGAAGCGGCGGGACCGGAGCCTCGGGACACATCCCCGGGCACCGCCCGCTGCCCGGCGGGCTCCAGGCGGCAGCAGCGGGACGAGCCCCGTAAGAGGACGGGGCGGAGCTGATCCCGCATCCCGGTAGTGCCCGGAGGGCCACCGGAATCTCCGTAATCGTTGCCCCGGGGTCCGCTAATTAATTATTAACAGCGGCCAGAGCAGAGAGCCAAGGTCGGGACAAACCGCTCCCGGTCGCTTCCTACCCCCCATCCCGGTACCGGTGCCGGTGCCACCGGCGAGGATGTGGCCGTACGCGGTGGCCGCGCTGCTGGCGCTGTTCCTGCTGCGCCGGTGGCACCGGGAGCGGCAGACGGTGCCGCGGCTCTCGGAGAAGCACGTGCTGATCACGGGCTGCGACAGCGGCTTCGGGAACCGGCTGGCACGGCAGCTGGACGCGCGGGGGCTGCGGGTGCTCGCCGCCTGCCTGACCCACACCGGGGCCGCGCAGCTGCGGGCGGCCACCTCCGACCGGCTGCAGACCGTCCTGCTGGATGTCACCTCCAGCAAGAGCATCGCCGATGTCACCGCCTGGGTCCGGGAGCGTGTGGGTGATCAAGGTAAAACGGGCTTGACGCCCCCGTTGTCCCCCCCTGGCTTCCCCTGCCAGACCGCGGGGCAATCACGGCTCTGGGATTAATTGCTGCCTGGCCAGAGGTGCTTCTCTGGTGACATCCATCTGCCATCGGCTCCTGCAGGAGTGCTGCCCGGCAGAGAGTTCAGCTTCCAGCCCTTTCCTCCCGAAAATCAGCTAATTAAGAGCTGATTACCCCAACAGCTCTCCTGCCACCTTGCCCACTTATGCCAGCACAGGCGAGACTGGTGCGGGGTCTTGGAGCAGCCTCAGCTCATCCCATCCCCTCTGCAGGGCTCTGGGGGCTGGTGAACAACGCAGGGATCGCCATCCCCAGCGCCCCGAACGAGTGGCTGAGCAAGGAGGACTTTGTCAAGGTGCTGGATGTCAACCTGGTGGGGCTGGTGGAGGTGACCCTGAGCCTCCTGCCGCTGGTGCGGCGGGCGCGGGGCCGCGTGGTCAACGTGGCCAGCGTGATGGGCCGCGTGTCCTTCTTCGGTGGAGGCTACTGCATCTCCAAGTACGGCGTGGAAGCCTTCTCTGACAGCCTCAGGTAAGTCTAGCCAAACGGGCTTCAGCAGGATTTCCCAGTTTGTTTTCCTGGACTTTGTCTGGCACAGCGATCAGCTCCCGTCCTCACACAACCGTCACTGAGCACAGGTTGAACTCGGATCTGCTGCTGAAGTGTGAGCAGCTCCTGTCCTGGCATGGAGCCTCCCCTCTGGACGCTGCCCCTGTCCAAAATCCTGCAGGACATCACCCTGCTGCCCCGAGCTTTGCTTTGTTCCCGACCCATCCAGATGTGGCAAATGTTTGCTGGCACACCATCTCAGCCGTGTGCCAGGCTGGCACAGTGCCCACTGGCGTGCTCAGGCTCTGCTCCACGCCTCTGGCATGAGGCTGCATCCCATAGGAGATGTGGGCACAGACACGCTCGGGTGCTGCTGCCATGTCCCACGGGACTCCATCCCTTCCAGGCTGGAGATGCGCAGCTTCGGGGTGAAGGTCTGTGTGATCGAGCCGGGCTTCTTCAAAACAATGATCACCAACGTTGAGAACCTGGAGAAGAATTTTCATGCCAGCTGGGGGAAGCTTCCTGAGGAAATCAAAGCAAGTTATGGAGAGAACTACTTAAGGGAGTGTAAGTACGTCCCCCAAAGGCTGAGCGATCCTCTTTGTCTCCTGACACAAGGCACATCCCCAGGGCCGTGAGAGTCCCATGGGGGTCCCATTGCCTCAACACCCCATGGAGCCACTTGGCTCTGCTCGGCTCCGGGCTCTCGGTGGCATTTTCTACCTCTGCAGATGTGGCATTGCTCAAGGTGCTGCAGAAAAGCTACAGCTCCAACCTGTCACTGGTCACCAACTGCATGGAGCACGCGCTGACCAGCCTCCACCCCCGCAGCCGCTACTCCGCTGGCTGGGACGCCAAGCTGCTCTACATCCCCCTCAGCTACCTGCCCTCAGCCCTCAGCGATGCCCTATTCACCTTTTTCTACCCCAAATCTGCTGGAAACACCTAAGGTGGGCTTGCAGCTGGCAGCCAGAGTGAGATCGATAACACCTGGTGGGATCCAAAACTGGCTCCAGCCAAGGCCACACCGAGGTCCCTGAATTTGTAGCTGCGTGTCTGACCCTCTGTCCCCTGCTCACGGATGGGTTTGTCCTGAATAAAGACCCCCTGTCCCCTCCTGGCTGAGCGTGGTGTCACTCTCAGGCTGTGGCAGGAGGCTGTGCCTGGAGGCTCTGGTTCCTCCCCTGAGCACCTGCTGTGTTCAGGATCCAGCCCGGAGAAGTTGCCAGGGGACTTGCCCAAACTGGCACCCCAGGACTGAGACACGCGAGTAAAACTCAGACCTCTTCCAACCTGAGCAGATTTCCCTCTAGGCAAAGAACTGAGCAGCCTCTTCCAGCGTCCTCCTCCTCCTGCAGAGCTGCTTGGGAGGGACTGTCCTGCTCCATCACCAGTTTGGGGACGCTGCTGCCCACCGAGGCTGGGAGAGAGGGAAATATGCGGCCTTGGTGCTGCTGACGGTGTCTGGAGGGTTCCACCAAATCCAGCTCCGTGGGACATTGGGATCCACCTGCTAAGGGCACAGGGAGTGGTGCCAGGCAAAGCCGGGAGTTACAAAAACTACAAATCAGGGGGACAAAATTCACCCCGGGACCTGAGCAGATTTCCCTCTAGGCAAAGAACCGAGCAGCCTCTTACAGCGTCCTCGTCCTCTGCTTCCTCGTCTTCCTGCAGAGCTGCTTGGGAGGGACTGTCCCGCTCCATCAGCACTGGAATTACAAAAATCAGGGTGACAACATTCCCCCGGCTGCTGCCGCAATCCCGGCTCTATAAATGCGGTACCGGAGCGTGGCTGGCGCGGGCTGTCACCTCGGTGCCACCGGCGAGGATGTGGCCGTACGCGGTGGCCGCGCTGCTGGCGCTGTTCCTGCTGCGCCGGTGGCACCGGGAGCGGCAGACGGTGCCGCGGCTCTCGGAGAAGCACGTGCTGATCACGGGCTGCGACAGCGGCTTCGGGAACCGGTTGGCGCGGCAGCTGGACGCGCGGGGGCTGCGGGTGCTCGCCGCCTGCCTGACCCACACCGGGGCCGAGCAGCTGCGGGCGGCCACCTCCGACCGGCTGCACACCGTCCTGCTGGATGTCACCTCCAGCAAGAGCATCGCCGATGTCACCGCCTGGGTCCGGGAGCGTGTGGGTGATCAAGGTAAAACGGGCTTGACACCCCCGTTGTCCCCCCCTGGCTTCCCCTGCCAGACCGCGGGGCAATCACGGCTCTGTGGTTAATTGCTGCCTGGCCAGAGGTGCTTCTCTGGTGACATCCATCTGCCATCGGCTCCTGCAGGAGTGCTGCTCGGGGCAGAGAGTTCGGCTTTCAGCCCTTTCCTCCCGAAAATCAGCTAATTAAGAGCTGATTACCCCAACAGCTCTCCTGCCACCTTGCCCGCTTGTGCCAGTACAGGCGAGACTGGTGCGGGGTCTTGGAACAGCCTCAGCTCATCCCATCCCCTCTGCAGGGCTCTGGGGGCTGGTGAACAACGCAGGGATCGCCATCCCCAGCGCCCCGAACGAGTGGCTGAGCAAGGAGGACTTTGTCAAGGTGCTGGATGTCAACCTGGTGGGGCTGGTGGAGGTGACCCTGAGCCTCCTGCCGCTGGTGCGGCGGGCGCGGGGCCGCGTGGTCAACGTGGCCAGCGTGATGGGCCGCGTGTCCTTCTTCGGTGGAGGCTACTGCATCTCCAAGTACGGCGTGGAAGCCTTCTCTGACAGCCTCAGGTAAGTCTAGACAAACGGGCTTCAGCATGATTTCCCACTTTGTTTTCCTGGACTTTGTCTGGCACAGTGATCAGCTCCCGTCCTCACACAACCGTCACTGAGCACAGGTTGAACTCGGATGTGCTGCTGAAGTGTGAGCAGCTCCTGTCCTGGCATGGAGCCTCCCCTCTGGACGCTGCCCCTGTCCAAAATCCTGCAGGACATCACCCTGCTGCCCCGAGCTTTGCTTTGTTCCCGACCCATCCAGATGTGGCAAATGTTTGCTGGCACACCATCTCAGCCGTGTGCCAGGCTGGCACAGTGCCCACTGGCGTGCTCAGGCTCTGCTCCACGCCTCTGGCATGAGGCTGCATCCCATGGGAGATGTGGGCACGGACACGCTCGGGTGCTGCTCCCGTGTCCCACGGGACTCCATCCCTGCCAGGCTGGAGATGCGCAGCTTCGGGGTGAAGGTCTGTGTGATCGAGCCGGGCTTCTTCAGAACAATGATCACCAACGTTGAGAACCTGGAGAAGAATTTTCATGCCAGCTGGGGGAAGCTTCCTGAGGAAATCAAAGCAAGTTATGGAGAGAACTACTTAAGGGAGTGTAAGTACGTCCCCCAAAGGCTGAGCGATCCTCTTTGTCTCCTGACACAAGGCACATCCCCAGGGCCGTGAGAGTCCCATGGGGGTCCCATTGCCTCAACACCCCATGGAGCCACTTGGCTCTGCTTGGCTCCAGGCTCTCGGTGGCATTTTCTACCTCTGCAGATGTGGCATTGCTCAAGCTGCTGCAGAAAAGCTACAGCTCCAACCTGTCACTGGTCACCAACTGCATGGAGCACGCGCTGACCAGCCTCCACCCCCGCAGCCGCTACTCCGCTGGCTGGGACGCCAAGCTGCTCTACATCCCCCTCAGCTACCTGCCCTCAGCCCTCAGCGACGCCCTATTCACCTTTTTCTACCCCAAATCTGCTGGGAACACCTAAGGTGGGGTTGCAGCTGGCAGCCAGAGCGAGATCGATAACGCCTGGTGGGATCCAAAACTGGCTCCAGCCAAGGCCACACCGAGGTCCCTGAATTTGTAGCTGCGTGTCTGACCCTCTGTCCCCTGCTCACGGATGGGTTTGTCCTGAATAAAGACCCCCTGTCCCCTCCTGGCTGAGCGTGGTGTCACTCTCAGGCTGTGGCAGGAGGCTGTGCCTGGAGGCTCTGGTTCCTCCCCCGAGCACCTGCTGCCTTCAGGATCCAGCCCGGAGAAGTTGCCAGGGGACTTGCCCAAACTGGCACCCCAGGACTGCCACACGCGAGTAAAACTCAGACCTCTTCCAACCTGAGCAGATTTCCCTCTAGGCAAAGATCTGAGCAGCCTCTTACAGCGTCCTCCTCCTCCTGCAGAGCTGCTTGGGAGGGACTGTCCTGCTCCATCACCAGTTTGGGGACGCTGCTGCCCACCGAGGCTGGGAGAGAGGGAAATATGCGGGCTTGGTGCTGCTGACGGTGTCTGGAGGGTTCCACCAAATCCAGCTCCGTGGGACACTGGGATCCACCTGCTAAGGGCACAGCAGAGCCCAGGCACAGGGAGTGGTGCCAGGCAAAGCCGGCAGTTCCAAAAACTACAAATCAGGGGGACAAAATTCACCCCGGGACCTGAGCAGATTTCCCTCTAGGCAAAGAACCGAGCAGCCTCTTACAGCGTCCTTGTCCTCTGCTTCCTCGTCTTCTTGCAGAGCTGCTTGGGAGGGACTGTCCTGCTCCATCAGCACTGGAATTACAAAAATCAGGGTGACAAAATTCCCCCGGCTGCTGCCGCAATCCCGGCTCTATAAATGCGGTACCGGAGCGCGGCTGGCGCGGGCTGTCACCTCGGTGCCACCGGCGAGGATGTGGCCGTACGCGGTGGCCGCGCTGCTGGCGCTGTTCCTGCTGCGCCGGTGGCACCGGGAGCGGCAGACGGTGCCGCGGCTCTCGGAGAAGCACGTGCTGATCACGGGCTGCGACAGCGGCTTCGGGAACCGGCTGGCGCGGCAGCTGGACGCGCGGGGGCTGCGGGTGCTCGCCGCCTGCCTGACCCACACCGGGGCCGAGCAGCTGCGGGCGGCCACCTCCGACCGGCTGCAGACCGTCCTGCTGGATGTCACCTCCAGCAAGAGCATCGCCGATGTCACCGCCTGGGTCCGGGAGCGTGTGGGTGATCAAGGTAAAACGGGCTTGACGCCCCCGTTGTCCCCCCCTGGCTTCCCCTGCCAGACCGCGGGGCAATCACGGCTCGGGGATTAATTGCTGCCTGGCCAGAGGTGCTTCTCTGGTGACATCCATCTGCCGTCGGCTCCTGCAGGAGTACTGCCCGGCAGAGAGTTCAGCTTTCAGCCCTTTCCTCCCGAAAATCAGCTAATTAAGAGCTGATTACCCCAACAGCTCTCCTGCCACCTTGCCCGCTTGTGCCAGCACAGGCGAGACTGGTGCGGGGTCTTGGAGCAGCCTCAGCTCATCCCATCCCCTCTGCAGGGCTCTGGGGGCTGGTGAACAACGCAGGGATCGCCATCCCCAGCGCCCCGAACGAGTGGCTGAGCAAGGAGGACTTTGTCAAGGTGCTGGATGTCAACCTGGTGGGGCTGGTGGAGGTGACCCTGAGCCTCCTGCCGCTGCTGCGGCGGGCGCGGGGCCGCGTGGTCAACGTGGCCAGCGTGATGGGCCGCGTGTCCTGCTTCGGTGGAGGCTACTGCATCTCCAAGTACGGCGTGGAAGCCTTCTCTGACAGCCTCAGGTACGGCTGTGGCAGCCCCCGGAGCTCTCCTGTGCTCGTCCTGCAGCCCCAGCGTTGCCCCACTCTCCTCTTGCAGAGTTTTGTTGATTTATTTACTGCCGGTTACATTTTCCCCAGAGAACTTGTGAAACGCTGAGCAGCAGCGGGCTGGGAGCGTGGGCAGGGCTGGAGCCGTGGGTGTGCAGCCGTGGGAAGGATTTCAAGGGGCTCTGGAGCAAAGTTCTAGTGGGATCCTGGGGTGGGGGGTTGGACCAGTCCAGGAGGTCCCGGCGTCCCGGGGTGTCCCATAATCCGGAATTCTGGAGGCTGGGGGAGTCCCAGGGCGCTGAGATTCGGGGAGGTCCCGGGATCCGGGAATGCTCCGGGGTGATCCCGAGGCACTGAGGTTCAGGGGGATTCCAGGATCCAGAGGGGCCCCGGGGCACGGAGGTCCGGGGATGTCTCAGGATCCAAGAGGCTCCATGGAGCAAGGACAAGGTACCCCTGTGCCCATGATGGAAGGCCTGGGGGGTGACACAAGCAGCTCCTCGCTCCTCCCGCGGTCTCTGCCCTCCTCGGGACAGCAGCTCCCGCTGACGCCCCCGCCTCGGGCAGGCGGGAGCTGCGTCCCTTCGGGGTCCAGGTCTCCATCATCGAACCTGGAGGTTTCCAGACGGGAATGACCGACCCCGCCCCGCTGGTGAAGGGCCTCGTTCGCCTCTGGGAGCGGCTCCCGGCAGAAACCCAGGCAGCCTACGGCCGCCGCTACCTGGAGAAATGTGAGTCCATCCCCACACCGCACCACCACCCTGCTGACCCCACCTCCATGGGGCTGACCCCCTTGTGCCCACCCAGATGCCAAGAGCACCGCGCTGCTGCACCGCCTGAGCAGCTCCCGCCTGTCGCTCGTCACCGATGCCGCGACACACGCGCTGCTCTCCCGCTGTCCCCGCAGCCGCTACGCCGCGGGCTGGGACGCCCGGCTCATATTCCTGCCCCTCAGCTACTGCCCGGCCTGGCTGTCCGACACCATCCTCGGCTTCTTCCTGCCCGTCCCGGCCAGCGGGACCCCCTGATGGCCGCCAGAGGAGGGCCCGTGGGTGTCCCGCACCCTCGAGAACGTGCTCAGTAAAGGCGGTGCAATGCGGGAGTCGGAGGTGTTCGATGGCCGCTTGGCCCCGGTGCTGGTGGCCCGTCCCACCGTGGGGTCCGTGGCAGGATCCCGGTGGCCGCCTGTGCCCTGAGCGGCCGCCTAACCCGGGACACCCCGGCTCGGCTGGCACGGAAAGGCTGCGCGGCGTTTATCCATCCCCCGGGCTCGTGGGCGGTGATCCCTGCGTCACTCACGGAGCTAATTAAGAACTGATTAGCGATCAGTAGGTGAGGGGCAGGTGTCTGAGATGGTGCATTGCCGGCGGGACCAGAGCAGTGCCAATGCAGTCTCCCTCACCCCAGCTCCGCCAAAGGCCGACCCCACGCCTGACCGGGACCCCCGAGACGCGAGGGGGATGAGGATGACCCGGGACCTTGCACAGGCTGTTTCCCCGGCCGAGGAAGCTTCTCCGAAGTGTTTTCTTTGGCTTAGAAAGCACAGCGTGGCCGGCAGCACGTCGCGTTCGGGGCCACGCGTGTCCCCAGGGCCGGGCCGTGCCGTGCCAACCCCCGGGAGCTGCAGCCTTGGCCGTACCTGCCCTGGCACACCTGTGCCCGGGGAGGGAAGGAGCGGGAGAACGGCAGATCCCCGGGCTGCCTCCGCCTGGAGCCCACTTCTCCAGATCCTGAGGGAGGCTGGGGGCTCCTGGGCACACATTTGGGGTGCTGAGAGCCTCGGGGCGCCCTAATATTGAGGGAGGGATGGGCAGAACGGGCTCAGCCGGCTTGGAAATACAACCGGCTCCCAGCCCTCGCTATTCCCACCAGGATCAGCAGCCCCTGCACAATCCTTGACGGCTCCCAGATCCTGCTCAGCCCCAGAGTTCGGTGTGGAAATTGTTAAATAGAACCAGCTGAACATTGCTTCCCCCTCGCGTGGGGCAAAACCCCCACAGCCCCTCGGTGGCAGAGCGGCCCCTCACCACCCCCACGGCCCAAACTGAGCCAAAATGTGCCCGGGGCCAGCACGAAGCTGCGGAGTTCCTGTTTGGAAGGCGGTCCTGCCGGGGTTGGTACCTGCGCAGGGGTCAGCAGCGCTGGTTTGTTGTTGTGAGTCCCGACTTATCAGTGCCCCCGCGCTTCCCCGCTCCCCGTGCCTTCCTTCCGAGCCAATTGTTGATCCCGCAGTCTTGGCTGCACTTGAAAAAAAGGAGATTTCCTGCAATTGTTTCGCAGGACTTGCAGCCCGATGCAAAATTTTCTGCCTATCAGCCCCCTCCCCAGCGCCGGGGCAAGGCTTGAGCCCCCTGGCTTCCCCTGCCAGACCGCGGGGCAATCACGGCTCGGTGATTAATTGCTGCCTGGCCAGAGGTGCTTCTCTGGCGACATCCATCTGCCATCGGCTCCTGCAGGAGCACTGCCGGGGCAGAGAGTTCGGCTTTCAGCCCTTTCTCCCCGAAAAGAGCCCTGAGCTCACCCTGATATCGGGGTGGCATCAGGGACAGCTTTTGGCACCTTTGTTAAAACCCACCCCAACCCCTCGGGATTCCCAGTGCCGGGGCAGGACCTGGGATGTAATTTCCCCACAGAAGGATCCAGGCAGGATCCAGCCTCTCAGCCCGGTGGGGTGACAGTGGAGGGGACACTCAGGAAGCCTCGGGGACCCCCGGGCACCTGCGGCTTCCACACCGACACCTGCCCGTGGCCTCCCCGCGCCTGTCCCCACCCTGCGGCAAAATCAAATGGGAGCCGAGTCCCGGCGCTGGAAATTCAGTCAAATGTCACCCGCGCTGGGCTGTCGCAGGATGTTGCACCACGACGGTCATTTCCTGCCCCGCAAGCGGCCACCAAGCCCACCCGAGCTCCGTGCCCAGAGGCGCTCGGGCTGCCGAGCCGAGAGGATCCCCCCGCTCCCGAACAGCCCCAGCACAGCCCTCGCTCAGCCGCCGGTGAGCCAGCACCGAGGCACCGACCCTCCTCCCTCGTGTCCCTTCTCCTGTCCGTCTGTCCCCTTTACCATCCACCTGTCCGTCCCTTCTCCCGTTTATCTGTCCCTGGTCCTGTCTGCCTGTCCTTTCTCCCGTTTGTCTGTCCCTTCTCCCGTTTGTCTGTCCCTTCTCCTGTTTGTCTGTCCCTTCTCCCGTTTGTCTGTCCCTGGCCCTATCTGTCTGTCCCTTCTCCCGTTTGTCTGTCCCTGGCCCTGTCTGTCTGTCCCTTCTCCCGTTTGTCTGTCCCTGGTCCTGTCTGCCTGTCCTTTCCCCTGTCCCTCTGTCCCCTTTACCATCCGCCTGTCCCCTCGCCCATCTCCCTGTCCCTTCTCCTGTCCATGTATCCCCTCTCCCGTCCATCTGTCCCATTTTCCCTCTGTCTCTCCTCAGCCCCAGCAGCCCCTCGGGACCTGCAGTGCAGAGAGGACGGGAGGTTCAGGAGCCCTGGGGGTGGCAGGTCCGGCCTCCCCCTGCTTTTGGGGGGTGTCAGTGTGGGTGGGAGCCACAGGGATGATGTTCTTATGGGGGACACCAGCAGTGGCTTGCTCCTGGCTTGCCGGGCTCCAAGCGAAGCGGGAAGACCCCGCGGGAAGGGCAGAGTCCCGCAGCATTCCCAAGGGAACGGCTGCATTGCCCTGAAATGTAGAATTTTGTCACCTACTTGGATGTCCCCGATGGCTCCCGGCAGAGTGAGGGCGGCTGGCGAGTGACCAGGCCCTGAGGGCTCGGGTGGGAGCGGGGGCTTAGACAGAGTCACCGATACCTGTCTGTGTCCCAGACCAGGCTCTGGGACAGGGAATACGTGGTGACTGTTGTTTGTGGCTGGCATTTATCCTGGAGTGTGAGGAGATCGCCTAGGTGGACTCAGCATCTTTTGAAGGTTGACGTAGGGAGTCACCGTGGGAGTAAAAATTAGGTTAGAAGCCCCTGGAAGGATCTTTTGGAGCCCCACACAACGGGTCTCTGTTTCAGGCTGCCCAGCTCAGTGCTGTCCCTTTCCCTGCAGCCACCAGGATGGCCGAGGTGACCACTGTCCCCGTGGAGACACGCACTGTCCCAAGCGAGTACGGGGACTACCACAACTTGTCCGAGCTGTTCTACCTCCTGAACCACACCTACACCTACTGTGAGTTCAGCCTGGATGAGAACATCAAGCGAGTGATTCTCTTCATCCTCTACCTGGTCATCTTCGTGGTGGGCTTGGTGGAGAACCTCCTCGTCATCTGGGTCAACTGGCAGACACGGGGCAACAAGAGCTTGGTCAACCTGTACATCATCAACATGGCCATCGCCGACCTCGGGGTGCTGCTCTCGCTGCCCATCTGGATGCTGGAGGTGATGCTGGATTACACCTGGCTCTGGGGCAGCTTCCTCTGCCGCTTCACCCACTACTTCTACTTCGCCAACATGTACGCCAGCATCTTCTTCCTCACCTGCCTGAGCGTGGATCGCTACGTGACCCTGACCAGCTCCTCCCTCTTCTGGCAGCGGCACCAGCACCGCGCGCGCCGCGTGGTCTGCGCCTGCAGCTGGGTCCTGGCCGCCGCCATCCCCGTCCTGGAGGTGTCCCACATGCAGCTGGTCAACACCGGGGAGCCCATCTGCATCTTCATGGCCCCCTTCGAGACCTACGACGAGTGGGCGCTGGCGGTCAGCTTGGCCACCACCGCCATCGGCTTCCTCATCCCCTTCCCCATCATCGCGGTGTTCAACGTGCTGACGGCGCGTTTCATCCGCCGCACCAAGCCGGAGAGCCGCAAGCACCGCCTGCTCATCTACGCCTACATCGGGGTGTTCCTGCTCAGCTGGCTGCCCTTCCACGCCGTGCTGACGCTGCTCACCCTCGAGGGCAGCCACATCATCCTGCACTGCACCTTGGCCCACCTGCTCTACTTCTTCTACGACATCATAGACTGCTTCACGCTGCTCCACTGCGTCCTCAACCCCATCCTCTACAACTTCCTCAGCAAGAACTTCCGCAGCAAACTCATCTCTGCCGTCGTCAAGTACATCCCCAAGGAGCACGGGGGCCAGAAGGGCGCCGGCAGCTCCTCCTCCAGCACGCAGCACTCCATAGTCATCACCAAGGACAGCAGCCCTCCCAACTAAGGGGGTCAGACTCTCCCAGCCTCCATCGTGGTGGCTCCCTGGGGACAGTGGGATCGGTTTTCCTGCTGCTGCCGAGGACACAACTTGCTTGGGCACAGCCCTTCTTGGCTGGGCACCTCCCGTGGCAGGTTGAGGCGCCTGGTTTGAGGAGAGCTGGGAGCTACGGACATCTTGCCTCTGGGGTGCTGCTGTGTCCAGCCTAAAGAAAGGATAAGAGAAAATTGTATTTCCTGTTTGACAAGAGAAACCCTTGCAATAATAAAGCTTGTTACTCCACTCGGTGTCTGACACAACCCAACCCCAAGATCAGAGCCTCATCCTGCCCCAAGCTGTGGGGTTGGAGTGCACATCCGCCCCATCACGGGCATTTCTGCATCCTCAAACTGCCCCTGAGCCCCAGCCCTGGGCACGGCACTGCCTGTGAGAGCCATCCCGAGTGGGAGAGAAGGAAACATCCCTTTGGAACACAAAACCCCCCGTCTAGTGCCCAGCAATGCCCAGAGCCTGATTTTTGAGAGATGAAGGCGAAGCAGCCCAAGGGGCTGAGCAGGGCACAGATCTGAGGGGGGAAACAACTTGGATTCGAGATCAGCCACTCCTTCCGAGCAATTTTGCAAACCCACTTGTAAATTAGTGATGGCTAAACTGGGTTTTACTGGAAAGGGCTGCTCCAGACTGACTGTGGGTCCCCCATCCCATTAACTCCAGCCTCCTCTGGAGCATCCCCTGGCAGGTTTTTATGGCCACTGGGTAGATTTCTCAAATCCATCAGGCTCCAAAAGCACTTCCCCTTCCACCAAAGTCCCTGTGGGAACATGGGCATGTGCAGAAAACCTCAGAGCTGGAGCACGGGCTGGGCTTGTGCTGTGCAAGGAACTGGAGCATCCGGAGAAAGTTCATCCTTGTCTGGATCCTGATCCCCGTCACGAGCTGCGGGTCGAGCCCTCGCTGGGGGAAGGTGACAGAGCGACCATAAATCTCCCAAAGGCCTTGAGCTGCTCGAGGAACACGCCTGAAAAAAAGCAAAGCATAAGCAATTCTGGGGACAGGATGCTGGTGCAGGGTGGGGGGAGCAGGATGTCCCAGGAGAAGCCCATGACCGGGGGTTGAGACGGATACGGGGTTATCACGGGTCTGGCTGGGAAAGTTCTGCCACTTCCAGGGGTCCCTGATGGGGTAAAACCCTAAATTCCTCAGGGTTCCTTCTGCAGGGATGTTCCTCTGTATCCCAGGACAGAGGGAACAATCCAAATCCACCTCTTGCACAGAAAACCCTGGTCAGAATTCCCTGCTCAGGGCAGCAGCTCAGGCCCTTCCCTGCTCCTCACACCTGTGAGTGCAGAACCCCAGGGGCTGTGAGACCCCCAGGCTGAGATCTGCACCCACAGGACCCCACCACCTCCATTCCCTGATCCCAAATCCTCCCTGAGCTTCCCTTTGCTAATTCCCTCCCATTTCCAAGGAAGAAATGGATGATTAACACACAACCAGCCACTCATCAGGGCAAAAATATATTCAAGATACTTAAACATGTAGAATTTGGTATTTCACCTAATAAACTTAATTTTTAACTGTCTTAATTTCTCTGCACTTTTGTCCATAGAACTTAGGGCCAGAGTGGCCTCAAATAAATTGTCACTCACGTGGTGATCTGGGCACCTTGTTTCCACCTCCCTGGGAAGTTCTTCCTTGTGTCCAGGCGGAACTTCTTGTGGTTTCATTTATGGCCACTGCTCCTTGTCCTGTCACACCACTGAAAAGTCTGGCACCATCCTCCTGGCACCTACCTTTGAGGTATTGTTATGGATTGATGAGACCCCTCTCAAATTAGATATTTATACAGATACCTGAGATATTTTTATGGATTGGGATCTCCTCTCAAATGAGATATCTGATACATTTTTATGGATTTTGAGATCCCCTCTCAAATAAAATGTTTACATGGATAAATGAGATAATTTAATGGATTGATAGAATCCCCTCTCAGTCTCCTCTTCTCCAGATTAATCAATCCCAAGGAATGTCCCAAACTGTTCCCCTGAGCCAGTCCTGGAGCCATGCCACAAATCCAGGGGGAGCAGGATACAGGGATGGCCTCACCTGCTTCTCAGGCACTCCTGGGAGGAACAAGTTTCATAAAAAAACAGCTACGAGAGGTCAGTGTTTTCCATTTTATTATTCTAAATAAAAACCACACTTTGTGCTGAACAATGGAGTAGAAAAGAACCCGATGTACAACGATTTTAGACATCTACGATTTGGGGGGTGGTGGGGGGGGAAGTTTACAAAATATACAAAACTTTACAGCAAATAGATAGTAAACACTTAAATAGCAGGAGGTCAGTACCTACGATTAACTTAACGAAAAGGTTAGACAGCAAGTTCAACTCTTGTTCTTTCTTCATCTGCTCAATTACTCTGATGACAGACCTGGATGCAGAGAACAGGGAAAGTGAATTTTGTGTGGGGATGGGAGGGAGCCTGGGCTCGGAGCAGGGGGATTCTCTGTCTGGGCTCCCCAGGAGGCTCCGTGACCTGGATGCTGCCAGAATTTCCCCTCTGCAGCTCCCTCTCCTACCCCAGCATCCCAAAGCACTTTGCAAACACCTCAGGCTGCCCCAGGGGAGGTAGGTTGGTGTCCCCACAGCCACCAAGGGCAGCGGGGACAGGAGAGAGCCAGGTTTGCCCATGGTGGTGGAGAAGGAACAAAATCTGGCGTGGAAACACTGCTCTGGCTGTCCCAGCACAGAGCAGGAGCTGCCAGGCAGGCTGGGGACAGGGGTGACATCCCTGCCAGCCCCTGAAGGCTCGGGAGCTGCCAGGACCCCCGCTCAGGTCTCTGAGCCCTCTGGGAATCACCCCCAGGAGCAGCAGCAGCAGGTCCAGACCCATCCCTGCAGCCCCTCCACTGCTGATCTGGGGTGTTCCATGTGGGAATGATCCACTTTAACCCAAGCAAACAGAAATTCCCTGGATCAGAGGCAGCAGCAAGCGGGGGGCTCCTGCTTTCCCCCCCAGGCAGGAGCAAGGGCTGGCTGTGCCCGTTGGTGTTCCGGTGTAAAAGCTTCTCTTTTTGGTTTATGTGCACAAAAGGCTTTTGCTTTTCACCTTAATGAGATCCAGGGCTGCAGAGACCCTCCCTGAAGCTCACCACGACTTCTGGAATATTCCAGGAGGGTCTCAAGGCTCTCCCAGCCTTGTCTATCCCTCAAACCCTTCACAGCCACCTCCAGAGCAGAGCAGGTCGTGTCCATCCCTGTCCCTGTGCCCGTCCCCAGCCTGTCCCCAACCTGGCACAGCCCTGAGTTCCACGCTCCAGGGGACCCTGCACGAGCAGGGGGTGGGACTGGGTGACCCCCACGGTCCCTTCCAGCCTCATCCATCCCACAATCCCACGACACAAACCCTGGAACCCAGGGAGCAGCTCAGAGGAGCCCACAGCGAAGCACCACCAGCTCCCACACTGCCCAGAGCACCACGCCATTCCCAAAATGACCCTTTCTCTGTAAAACCTGACACAGCTCAGCACAGCTCCACAGTGACCCCAGCACCACGAGCCTGGAGCTCAGAACTCAGAGCTGACCTTGGCTCTGGTGCCTCCACCCCTCCAAAGCCAGGCTCCAGGCACCCTCCCCGCTCCCGGAGGTAGGTCGGTACCACGGGAGGTACCACCCTCATTTTACAGATGAGGAAACTGAGGCAAAGAGGTGAAGTGACTTGCCCAAGGCCACGGCGGAGCTGGAGGAGAGACCCCCGGGTGCTCTGAGCCCCCCGAGTCCAGCCCCACTGCAGGATGGCCCTTCCCAGGTGTCCCTTCCTGGGTGTCCCTTCGCAGGGAGGGGGCAGCGGGGCGACTTCCCAGGGTTTGCAAATCACTAGTTTAGTTTTGTTTAGTTCAGTTTTAGTTCTGCAACAGTAAAACGTGACAGAAGCGCAGGAGCGGATCCGCGACCACCGAGGCTGCAGAGCCCCCAGCGCTTCCTTGTTCGTGAGGTAGAATGAGTTACCCGAGGGCAGTCCCAGTTTGGAAATATCTGTTCCTCCCCACCCCTGCCCCACAGCAGGATAGCCAGGGGAGAAGCTAATCCGTGCCCTTCCCAGTGTTGGCACCAGCTGACCTCGCTGGAGAGACCCTCAGGAGTGGCCAGAAGAGCCCCCCATGCTGAGGTGGACCTGACACGGGGCCAAGAGAGACCCCTGTGCCCAGGAGAGCCTGACACGGGTCCAGGACAGCTCCCCATGCCAGAAGAGCCTCCTGCACCCAGGGGCACCAAAACTTAGAGGGGGAGAGCCCCTCCATGCCCAAGAGAGCCCCTCCATGCCCAGAGGAGTGCCCCACACCCAGCAGAGCCTCTCCATGCCCAGGAGAGCCCCCCACACCCAGGGGAGCCCCCCCATGCCCAGGAGAGCCCCTCCATGCCCAGGGGAGCCTCTCCATGCCCAAGAGAGCCCCACCATGCCCAGAGGAGTGCCCCACACCCAGTGGACCCCCTCCATATGCCCAGGAGAGCTCTTCCATGCCCAGGGGAGCCCCCCCATGCCCAGGAGAGCCCCCCCATGCCCAGAAGAACCCCTCCATGCCCAGGAGAGCCCCCCACACCCAGGAGAGCCCCCCCATGCCCAGGAGAGCCCCTCCATGCCCAGGAGAGCCCCTCCATGCCCAGGAGAACCTCTCCATGCCCAGGAGAGCCCCTCCATGCCCAGAAGAACCCCTCCATGCCCAGGAGAGCCCCCCACACCCAGGGGAGCCCCCAGAAGTGCCCAGCACACAGCAGGAGAGGCCAAGCCCTCGCTGTGGCTCCCACTCCATGAACAAACTCCCATCTCTCCCAGCACACACGTTTGCCACCAGAACACGTCCGGGATGTGGCGATGCAGGGCGTGGGAGGGGGGAGGATCCCTCTGGCAGGAGAAGGGTCCCTCTCCTTCCAGGGAGTTAAGGCAACAGCTTCATCCTGACTTGTCTGCCCCGGGCACAGCGTGAGGCTGGGGCAGAGCAGAGCCAGGAGACTCCTGGCTCTCTGTGGCCACCACAAATCACCCCACAAGGAGCACGGACCTGCTTCCCCTCCCTCTCCAGTCCTACAGGAGATCCCCGTGCTCACGCAGCCATCTCTGCCCAGCTCTGCAGCGAGGTTGTGTGGCTCCTTCAGCTCCTCCTGAGCGAGTCCCAGCCACGGCAGAGCAAACACGGCCTGGGGATCTGTGACTCCCCTGCTCCTGGTTCCCTGCTGGGATCCCTCCTTGGTTACACACTCAGGTGCTCCCTGCTCCTCTCCCCAGCAACGCAGCAATGGCCGATCCCAGAGCACACTTTGCTCGTCTCCTGGCAGTAGCAGCAGAACACCAGGGATGCCCAGAATGTCTTTTTCTTTCCTTTTTTCTTTTCTCTTTTGTTCCTTTCCTTCGAGTCCAGCGCCTGCTCTGGCTCTGTCCCTCTCCACTGAGGTCAGGTGTGAAAATCTTAGCAGCATCAGTTTGTGGACAAGCTCAGGGTTAGCCTGGTCAAGTGGGCTAAAAGGCTCAAAAAAAAAAATAGAATCTAGACTCAAAAACTAGTGAGAAATGCTAAAAGCACAGAACTCGATGGCCTCTAACAGGACCAGAGGTAAGTAAACACGACAGACTCCTTGAAACAGTGATGTACCTCACGTGCTGTTAATTTGTACAACGCCACCAATCTAAAAAGCCCTAGGAAGGCCCAAAAATAAAAATTAAAAAAAAAAATTAAACCAAAACCAAAAAAGAATTCCATCCATGATGCCTGACCATTAAATAAAACAAAACAGCTCTTTTTTTCTTTTTTGTTTTTCCTTTTCCTCCGCCACAGCTCCCACCATTAACACTCCTCCGCCAGCCGCGCCCCATCAGCTATCCGTGTTTTTCTCAGCCTCTTTGGAATGGATGATGTACATGAAAGTCTGTTCGATGGTGAAGTCCGGCGGGAGGCTGCCCTTGTGCACCCCTATGTGCTTGCTCATCAGGTTGAGCGTGGAGCTGTAGTGGCCACACACGGTGCAGCGATACATGAGGGCCCCCGAGTGCGTCCGCAGGTGGCACTTGATGGTGGAGCGCCCGCGGAAGAACTTGTGGCACACCTTGCACTGGTACGGCTTCTCCCCGGTGTGGATGCGCCGGTGGTAGTTGAACTCGCTGGTGTGGGCGAACCTCTTGCCGCACACCTTGCAGCTGTACTTGCTGTTCCCCGGCTGGTTCTGCAGCGCCAGCTCTTCGCTCAGGAACTCCTCGGGCAGTTTCCTCTTGGGCAGCCCCTGCGGCTGCAGGCGCTCCCCAAATCCCGCCCGGATGTCCAGGCTGCCCCCGCACTTGTGCTGGCTGACGTGGTAGCGATAGGCGGCTTCCAGCTTGAAGCTCTGGCTGCAGAAGTGGCACTGGAAAAGAGCCTCCTCCACGTGCTGGTGCACGGCCAGGTGCTTCTCCAGGAGCTGCCGGTCCACGAAGCTGCTGGCGCAGACGGAGCAGGAGAAGACGGAGATGCCCAGGTGGGACAGGGTGTGCCAGAGCAGGCTGCAGAGGCTCAGGTGCCGCTGGTCGCACACGCAGCACGTCTGGCTCTTCAGGTTCACGTGCTCCAGCAGGTGGCTGCGGACCGTGTGGAAATCTCTGGCCAAGGGCTTCCCGCAGGCAGCGCAGGCCAGCTCGGGGCCCGGTCCCCCCCCAAACACGGCCACCTTCCCCGGCAGCGGGTCACTGGGGTGGACGACCACGTTGTTGTCAAAGACCCCGTCCCGCCGGTGCAGCGTCAGCTGCCACTGGGTGAAAAACTTGGTCTCGCACATGTCGCAGGAGAAGAGGAAGATGCCGATGTGGGACAGCACGTGAGTGACCCTGGAGTTGCGGTCCTGGAAGTGGGTCTCGCAGACTTTGCAGTTCCCTGTCAGCAGGTCGACGTGGTCCCTGGCGTGCTGGCGGATCAGCTGGATGTTGGGCTCCAGCACCTTCTTGCACACCTGGCAGGGCATGGCCTTGCTGTCCCGGCTGTCGCTCTCGAAGGCCAGTTCCTCCTCGCTGTCATCGCTCAGCTCAATCACTTCCTCAGACGGGACCAGCTCCTCTCCAGCATCCTCAAAATGCAGCTCGGCCTCTCCCAAATCCTCCAGCTGGAGCTCATCCATCTGCTCGAATCCCTGCTCCTTGGAGTGGTCGCTGTTGCTGGGGCAGGAATTGCTCCCCGTGGAGACGTCCAGGGAGGGGTCAGTGGGGAAGAAGCTGCCCTTGCCGTAGTCGCCGTTGCTCTGGGCCTTGTACTGAGGGCAGGAGCTGCCGGTGGTCTGTGCCACGACATTCCCAGCGGGCTGGGCCCCCAGAGCCACGACCGGGGCGAACTGTCCCGGATCCGACTCCTGCTCTGTCTTGGGAGGCTGCTGTGGGTGCATCAGGGGGAGAGCCTGGCTGGCCTCACCCACGGCACTCCTGTCATCCTCTTTGTAGCCGCCCACCACGTCCCCGTGCAGGAGGAAATTCCGCTCGGGGCCGAAGTGCTCCGCGCTGCTCCGCATGTCCCCCAAAGAGTGGCTCTGCTCCGAGGAGGTGCTGCTCAGCGGCCCAGCCCGGCCTTCCCCCACATTCAGGGCGGGCTGCTTGGTGATGGCCGAGCTCTCCAGGTCGGGGAAGGTGGAGTGGCAGGCCTGCAGCAGATCCTCCATGCCCAGCCGCTCCGCCACCTCATAGATGACGCCCACGTTGATGAGGTCGGTGAAGAGCTCCGAGGTGTACACAAAGCTCAGGATCTTCTCAAAGTTGGCCGGCGTGATGAAATCCACCACGTAGGTCCTGGCAGCGTCCAGCCCCGTGTTGAGGAAGAGGTTCTGGAAGTAGCCGGCGGCGCAGGCCAGCACGGCCTTGTGCGCGGCGAAGGAGCGGGAGCCCACCAGGATGGTGACGTCGCACATGGTCTCGGAGAGCCGGCACTTGTTGAGTTCCTTCAGCAGGTTGTTGGGGTGGTTGGTGCTGTGCAGCTTGATCCTCATGCCCATCTTAGCAGCTGCTTAAGAGTCCCTTCTCCTGGTCAGCTCGGCCTTCACGCTTTCATCCGCGGTGGGAGCAGGAACTGGCAGGGCAAGGGGCTCTGCAGAGGGGAAACGCAAAAAAAAAGTTATTTAACAAGCAAAACAACGCTGTTCTGGTCATACCTCCCATTTTGCACCTTTCTGAGGAGCCACAGAGCAGCTGCTCAGCTGGAGATGGACTAAACCTGCCTCATCAGCTCGCTTTTGGGAAATAAAAGGATGGATGTGCAAAGCAGCAAAGCCAAAACAAAAAGACACCGACTCTCCGAGGCAGCAGAAGGTCCCACTGCTGTCGGGGCAGGGACAGAGATCCTGCTGTCCCTGAGACCCAACTGGAGCCTGTTCCAGACATCTCCCTCTTCCTGAGCTGGGGATGAAGCTCCTCTCCAAAGAGGCGTCACTCAGGCTGGACACACCAGTTGGATTCGCCTCAAGGTCTCCTCCAGCTGCAGCCACTTCATTCCTTCACTTCAGATCCCACCTGTACCCACAAGGACACTTCAGGCTCCCAGGTGGGATTCTCTGCATTCCAGCCTTGTGGATTCCCCTGGGATAGATTCCCCCGGGATGGATTTCCCGGGATTTCTCTCAGATTCCTCAGCTGCCACCACACCTGTCCCACAGCACCGGCCATTCCCCAGTGTCCTCCCAGCGTGTCCCATTGCCTTTGTCCCTCTGTCGTGCTCACAGATGCCTCAACAGCTCTTGGGATTTCAGGAACTTACCCAGAGAACTCTATCCTTAATTCCCCTATTCCTAATTCCCTGCCTTCCCTCCCTGAGACAGGGAACAGCGAGCCCAGAAGGCAGCAAAGAGCAGGAGTTTGGAGGGGCTGGAGCTGCCTCTGCCCCAGCTCCGGGGAAAACCGAAGCCCGGAGGACGGGCTGCTCTCCCCCGGGATGCGGCGGGACGGGGAAAACACCACTGGCAGCCGGGGAGGGCGAGGAGGAGGATGAAGATGCCGCGGGGAAGGCAAAAAAAAGCACCTGGGCAATTGCTGCGGAGGGGATGGGGCGGGAGGGGACGGAGCGGGACAGAGGTTGGGGAGCGGGGGGAGTCCCGGAGCTGCTCCGGGAGAAACGGGAGGAGAGGGGGGTGGGGTGGGGGGGACAGCGGGGTCCCCGGTGGGGCCGGGGGAGCCACGAAAGGCAGCGGGAGAGCGCGGGGAGGGGGGGGGAGGCTCGGCGCGGGGCTGGCGGCCCGCGGGGGCCGGGGGCGCGGGCGGGGGTCGCTCCTTACCCGCCCGGCGCCCCGCACCATCCCGGCCCGGCTCACACAAAGGCGCCGACCCGCCCCGCGCCCGCCCCGGCCCGCGCCGCCTTCCGGGACCCGCCGCCCGCAGCGCCCCCGCGCGGACGGGAGGACCGGAGCGGGGCGGGACACACGGACACGGACACGGACACGGGAGGGACACATGGACACGGGGCGGGACACACGGACACGGACACACGGACACGGACACGGGAGGGACACACGGACACGGGAGGGACACACGGACACACGGACACACGGACACGGGGCGGGACACACGGACACGGGAGGGACACACGGACACGGGGAGGGACACATGGACACGGGAGGGACTCACGGACACGGGAGGGACTCACGGACACGCGGCGGGACACACGGACACGGAGCGGGAGGGACACACGGACACGACACACGGACACGGACACACGGACACGGGAGGGACACACGGACACGGACACGGACACACGGACACGGACACGGACACACGGACACGGAGCGGGACACACGGACACGAGAGGGACGCACGAACACGGACACGCGAAGGATACACGGACACGGGAGGGACGCACGGACACACGGACACGGACACACGGACACGGGGCGGGACACACGGACATGGACAAGGGATGGGACACACGGACACTGGAAGGACACACAGACGGGGGCACGGGCACTTCTCCAGCCACGGGGGCTGCGTGGGGAAGGGACAGGTCGCTGTAGCCCACGAGCACCCCAAGCCCGGCCCCGCAGGTCCCGCGGGCTCATCCCCGTGGGCCCATCCCCGTGGGCTCATCCCCGTGGGCCCATCCCCACATCCCCATCCCCTGGGCCATCCCGAGCAGGTCCCGGAGGCGCAGCCAAGACACAGAGGCGCAGTTTGCGCGTGTCCCGCGCAGACACGGGTGGGTGTATAGCGGGGCACGTCCAGGTGTACACAGGTGCACGGACACGCGCGCGTGGGGCGGGACGGCCGCGCTCCCGGCGGCTCCCACGACAGCTCCGTGGGCACCGGCGCTCGGCACGCTCCCGCAGTCGGTCCCACCGTCCCCGGGACACGGGGCACAACCCCGCCCGGGCCCCTCCGCGCGTGGGGGGCTCGTTCCGCCGCTCAGGCCGCCCGCAGCGGGACCTCGCCGGGCGCGGGGGGTCGCGGGGAGCACCGGGGGGCCGGACCGCCGTTCCCCCCGCGCCCCGCTGCTCGCCCGGGCTCCGCTGCTCGCTTCCCCATGAGCCCCACGAAGAAATCGTGCATGTCTCCTGCGGAGAGACCGGCCGTCAGCGGCACCGGCACCGGCAGCGGCGCCGGCACCGGCACCGGCACCGGGCGGGACTTACTCTTCTGCGGCGCCGCGGGGGGACCTGGAAGAGACCGAATCGGGTGAGCGGGGACCGGGCGGACCCACACCCTCCCACCCGAGCCCCCCAGCCCCTCACCGGCGCCCTCCTCCCGCAGCAGCTCCAGCGCGGCGGCGGCGGCGGCGGCGGCCCCGGGGCTGCCGCGGGCGTTCCACGGCAGCGGCTCCGGGACGGGCATCCCCTACGGGAGAGAAGCGGGTGAGCGGGATGGGAAGGGGTCCGGGGGCTCCCGGAGGGTCCGGGGTCCGCCCGCCGCTCTGCCCCGACGGCCGTACCCGCGCGGGGCCCGGTGGGGCGGCGGGGGCGCGGCGGGCGAGGGCGAGAGGCAGCGCCAGGAGGAGCAGCACCGCCAGCAACGGTCGGTTCTTCATCCTCAGGGGGAGATCAACGATCTGCGACGGAGCGGCGGGGCCCGGGGGTGTTCCGAGCCGGCGACGCCTCGATAGGGCGGCCCGGGATGAGTCTGGAACCGAACCGGGCTCTGGGGAGGGAAAGCAGCGAGACGGGAGACGGCGGGGCCGGGGGCGGCGGGACCCGCTCTGGGGTGTGCGGAGGAGGGACCGCGCCCCTTCCCGGGCTGCCGGTGTCCCTTGGACGGGCTGCACCCCGAGGGTGCATTACAGGCTTGGGGGGGCACGTTATGGGGTGTGCAGGAGGACACGGCCCTGCTGTGGTCCCGCTGTCCGGAGTTCCCACTCGTGCCCGTGGTGGCACGGCTATGCGCTCACACACGAGTGTGGGGCACGGACACAGCTCGGGCTCCGTCCTGCACATCTCAGCACACTTGTGTCCCCTGACACGCTCCGTGGCACACTGACATCCTCAGTCACACTCCCAGGCACGCATATCCTTGCCCACAGCCGGACTTGCTTTTAGACCCCCCACCAAACCCTCCCCAAATTCAAGCGACACCTTCACCCCATCCCTCCTCCTGCCTGTGCCCTCCCTAGCTCTGTCCCAACCTCCGCTCCTCCTTCTGCCTTCCCCTAACCCCAGCGGGGCGAGGACAGAGCACAGCAGCTCCCCGGGACCCTGGGGAGCCCCCAGAGCCGTGGGACACCGGGACACAGACCTGCCGAGCCCTCCGGTGGAGCTGAGGGACTCCTCGGGGCGTGGTGGTGGAGAGCAGCGGTGTGGTCAGCGGTGATGGACAGCAGCCGTGGTGGGCACCAGCCGTGGTGGGCACCAGCCGTGGGCAGCGGTGGTGGGCACCAGCCGTGGGCAGCTCCCCCGGCCCGGGCTCAGCCGGGAGGTGAAGTACCGGGGCAGCGGTTTCTGCGCGGCGCTAAATAAGGGGCTCTACCCATGGCACGGCGTGGGTGGGCAAGAGGAGAGCTGCCAATGGGGGCCGGTGGGGTGGTACCCCCACCCTGCAGCTTCACGCCCACGCAGGCACGGTGACACCGACAGCACTCGTCACACACGAGGAGTCACACAGCGGCACACTCGTGCCCACGCAGGCACCCCCGGGTGGGGGGTCAGCGCACGGGCACCGTGCCCACGCAGCCCCCGGCCCCTCATTGTGGGGACGTCACCATGTGTCTGTTGGCACGTGTGGGGACACGCGTGGAGGAATGGTCCTGGCTGGATGCGGGGCTCTGCAGCCAGGATTTGGGGGTCTCACGAGGGAGAGGGGATGGGCCAGGCTCCCACCGTGCGCCCGTGATGCACACGCGTGTTCACCTGCACTGGTGTGCCCACACTTACCTCATGCACACTCACACGTACCTCACACACACCCTGCCCCACTGCAGCGTGCCCGGTGTGCCAGGATGTGCCCAGGTGGAAGACAGGGAGGAAAATTTGGGGGAAAACAGAGGGGCACAAGGAAAGAGGGAACGGCTGGGCCAACAAATGAGAGCCGAGGACTCCATCCCGAGCAACGGGCAGCGGCCGCTGCTCCGGTGGCTGCGGCAGCCCCCCGGGAAAGCGGCCGGCAAGGCGGCAGCTCACGTTGCAAACAGCCCGGGGCAGGGCAGCATCTGCAGTGCCGGGAACGTTAATTAAACCGGAGCCTGGCCAGAGACGGTCTAATTAATTAATAACACCTACTTGTGCGATGCCAAGTGCGACGCAGCTGTGAAGAGCCGCGGTGCCCCGGGCTTGTTTACGGGGGGAAGGTCCCTGTGCTGGGACGTGACGGAGCCCGCGGCGGAGAGCGGGGAGCCCTCGGTGCTGGGACGCGGCCAGGCCACCAAAGTGCCACCGTGCCCACGCACGTGCCCCCCACACGTGCGGGAGGTGCCCGCACACGCTCCCCCTGCACGAAAACGGCGCTCCGGGGCCCACCTGGGAGCTGGTGCTGATGGGGATGTGACGGGGAGTTGGCAGCTCCCGAAGGTAACGCGGGTGATGTGTGGGGACAGGATAAAAACCCTCCTCAAGAGCTTCATGAAAGGGGGAAAAGGCAGCAAAGCAGGGGAGATCTTGTCACGGGGGTTGTGGGGTCCTGGGGGCTGCAGGACTGGTGGGAGTGCTGAGGGTTCAGGGGGCTGGAGGACTGACGGGAGTCTGGAGGGTTCTGGGGGCTGGCAGGGGTTCTGCAGGTCCTGGGGTCCCATGGATCCTGGGGGGTTGAAGGACTGATGGAGCTCCTGAAGGACCTGGGGGCTGCAGCGCTGATGCAGCTCCTGAGGATTCCCAAGGCTGCAGAACTGGCAGGGCCCCACAGATCCTGAGAGCTGCAGGACTGGGGGGTCCAGAGAGTCCTGGGCACTGCAGGACTGATGGGGGTCCTGATGGGGCTCCTGAGGGGTGCTGGATTGATGGAGATCGCGTGGGTCCTGGGCTGCAGCACCACTGGGGCTGTGCAGTGACTGCCCTCTATCCCATTCTCCGTAGCCCTGGTCCCAAGAGCAACCCCAGCACCAGCCCCTGCACGGGTGTCCTGCAGCAGCATGGGGGGACCCTGGGCAGGGGGACAAGGACATCCAGTGCAGGCAGGAGGATGACAGGGACCTCACATGCAGCCACCCATGGCTGCCAAGAAATTGCCTCTGAAGCAACACGAGCTGAGAGCCACTTGATGGGAAAAGTGGCCACAATTTGGAGCCTTTCCAGTCACCACAAGCAGAGCGTTGGCTGCAATCAGGCATCGGGAAAAGTCAGGAAAAGCGGGAGGCCAGGATGAGGGGCTACATCACCGGGCTGGGCTGTGGGCCCTGAGGTCCCACCCCACCTGTAATGGGGCGACACCGTCCTGGTACTGATGCCTCAGCATCCTTTTAATGGGTTTGGAGCGATGTCTGGGTGCTGCCAGCACCCGCAGGGGTGGGGGACGACACAAGGAAGGGGTTGGGGGTGCCAGTGTGAGGGTGGGGGTCTTGGTGAGGGGCGAGGGTCCCCTCAGTGCACCAGGACCTCCATCTTGTTGCTGCCCTTTTTCTTGCAGACGGGGCCATTGGTGCCAGCCTTGGGCGACTCCACCACGGTGATGGACACGTCGCCCTTCGGGAAGCGGGTGGAGAACCTGGGAGGGGAGGATGGAGGGGAGGGGTTGGGATGGAGAGGTGGGAGGGGGACACGCCCACGCCCTATTGCCCAATGAGCTGCCTTGGTTGCACCCACTCCTCAGCTGCAGCCAATCAGGTCACTCACATGGTGCCCCACCCTCGGAGGCTCCACCCCCACCTCAGTCCCACCCTGGGCATCGCCCTGTCCCACCCATAATAGCCCCACCCACATCAGCCCCACCCTCCTGGCCCCACCCATTGTAGCCCCACCCACATCAGCCACGCCCTCCGTGTCCCCAGCCCTGTCCTGCCCCACCCATTGTAGTCCTGCCCTTCAGGCCCCGCCCACTGTGACCACACCCACAGAACCACGCCCAGCAAAGCCCCGCCCACACCTGTCCGTGATGTGCAGGGGCAGCGCCTGTCCCGTGGTGGCCTCCAAGGTCTGGTGCAGGCGGGTGACCAGCTCGATGAGGTGGTCACTGACCAGCAGAAAGTCACCCTTGGCCCCCGCTGTGGAGACCTGAGGGGCAAGCGAGGGGTCAGCCCTGCTGGGGACCCCCTGGGCCCCCAGGGCCCCCCTCCCCAGGTACCTCCTTGAGGTGCAGGGCCAGGAAGCCGTCGGAGAAGCGGGTGACTGAGACGCCACGGATGTCACTGAGGCTGAGCACGGTCTTGGGCTGGGCGGCCTTGGGGTCAGCCAGGACCAGGTGCTCGGTGGTGAGGAGCAGCAGGCGTGGGACTGTCTGTGGGTGGGGGTCAGCGTGGGCAGGGGATCACCAAGAACTGAGAGTCACGGTGGCCCTGTGTGCCCTCCCTCCACCCAGGGCACCCAAAGCAGGATCTCACCTTTCCATTAGCCCTGTTCACCTTCCTCACGGTGTCGGCCATCACCAGCTTGTCCTTGGCCACGGCGTGGAGCTTCTGGTACTTGGGGTTCTGCTTCAGCCCCAGGTACTCCCCGCGGAAGGGCTGCTGCAGGCTGGGGACGAGGGCATCAGCCACTGCTGCCCTGAGCTCCCCTGCACCCCCAGCCCCCTGCCCTGGCACCTTTTGGGGTACAGGGTCTTCTTGTCCTTGAAGAGCTCGCTGGCGCAGAGCCTGGCCTGCAGCTGGGCCCGGCGCGCCGCCGGCAGCTGGTCCCGGTACTTCTTGCACTGCCAAGGGAGGGGACGATTTGGTGCCACCAGAGACCTCTCGGGTGAGCTGGCACACCCAGATCCCACCTGGAATTCTCCTCATCTCCCCCTGCTCCCACCTTCCAGTGGTAGAAGATGTTCTTCAGCTCCTGGTTGGCGTCACTCAGGAACCTGTATGGCGCCGGGGGCCAGGTCCGGTCCGTCACCGACAGCGGCGGGAGGTTCTTTGCCAGCCCCACCAGGTACCTCTGCACCTGGGGGGTGACAATGCAGCAGGGGGGTCAGGAGAGGACAGGGCAGGGGCTGGGCAGGCACCGTGGGCCCCTCTCCCCCAGCCCCACTCACCAGTCGCCGGTAGATGAAGTTGGCCAAGCAGGTGCTGGCGTTGGAACGGAAATATTTCCTGTAGGTCCTGCGTGCCTGCAGGGACAGCGGCAGCAGTGAGGACACCGGACACCACCACAGCCCCACAGAGTTCAAGGGCGTCCCATCCCCACGTCCCCCTCATCCCCCACATCCCCCAGATCCCCTTCCCTGTTTGGCTCCATGGAGAGGACAGAGGCTGCAGCCCGACAGGGTGGGCAGACAGACAGACAGCCCGGACACAGCGGTGCGGACAGCAGGACAGAGGTGGCCTGAGGGCGCGTGGTTACCTGGTACCCTCTCCAGTGAGCGGCGATGGTGGTGGCGGCCGCGTGACGTCGGCACTGGGACTTCAGCTCCCGGAGGAGCCGGCGAGACTGCGGGGGTGAGAGCCCAGGGAGCCCGAGGGGAGACACCAACACAGACATGGAGCCAGAGGGAGAGGCAGGAGAGAGGCAGGAGAGCAGGAGAAAAGACAGGGAGAGGAGATGAGGGTGAATCTGGTCCCACCATGGGACACACGGAGCTGCTGGTCCCACTGTGGGGCACGCAGAGCCCCTGTCCCCACCCACCCTGCTCTCCCACACCAGCCCAGTCCCATGGTGGCTCTGGGGCTGCCCAGTCCTCACCTTCCAGCCCCGTGCATAAGCCTGCAGGATCAGCACCGACCGCTTCATCTGCTTGTACCTGTTCTTTTGCTGTGGGGGAACAAGGGGGTGAGTTGGGTGGCTTTGGAGAGCCAGACAGAGAGGGATGGGCAGGGGAAGCATGGCCAGGACCTGCCCTGTCCTCACCCTGTGGCCACGGAACCAGGCGGAGATGAGGATCTGGCTCTTGCGCATCAGCTGGTACTGGGTCCGGCACCGCCAGCCCCGAAACATCTTCTGGATGAGGGTGGCGAGCTGGGCCACGCGCTCCTGGCGCCGCCGCTCCAGGTCGAAGAGCTGGGGACAACCCCAGCAAGCGCTGGCTCACGAGCAGCCCCGGGGGCTGTGGCATCACCCGGGAACTCCCAGGACAAGTCTGGATCCCGCCTGGACTCCCCATTCCCAGACTCACCGTGCGTGGCGAGCGGATGAAGATCTTGGTGTGGCCGAACGCCAGCTCCTCGGCGGGGAACGCCAGACCTGCCAGCAGCACCTCAGCCCCCTGCCTGCACCCCGGCGGGGACAAGGCCGGTCAGAGCCCCTCCAGCAGCCCCCCGACCCTCCCGGTCCGTGCCAGCCCCGTACCTGTCCCCACCGTGCCAGCGGGGCCACGTGCGGGCGTTGAGCATCTTGTAGCGCTGCAGGAAGGGGCCGTAGGGCTGGCGGAAGGCGTAGCCCGCCCGCCGCACCCGCACGTTCTCCAGCAGCCCCAGGTACCGCACCTGTGCCAGCACCAGCTCCGGCGTGAACACCATGGCTGACTTGGCATCGTTGGGTTTGATGCACCTGCAGAGCGCAGCGATGGTTTGGGGGGGTTTGGGGTGCCAG